CATCCAATACACCATTGATGAACATGTTGAATAAGGTTTGTGACAGTTGACGCCTTGCCTCATGCTCCACCCCCACCATTTCAAGAGGGATAAGCTTGGTGAGTCTTCCATCAACCCTTACACAGATCTCGGAGGCATCTGTAGACATTTATGGGCATTTATAATAATAATCCTGGCATTTGATATAGCACCTTATGTCGTTGAGACGTCTCAAAGTGCTTCACAGAATATACTGTAAAGTGAATTGACTGCATATTTTGTGGGTGAAACGCGGCAGCCAATTGCACACAGCAACGTCCCACAAACAGTTATTTTATTTGGGTAATGTCCAGCTACAGTAAACTCCTGCTATCTCATCACTTGAAGGGAAAAGGCCTCAATGGCAAGTTATCCGGAGTGCTGAGTTAGGTATATGTATAAATACACATGCCTAACTCACTAACTAAATGAAGCTGGGATAATGACAACATGAGGACTCAAGTGGTAGTGACGAGTTAAGACGGGGTTGAGTTATCAGGAGTTTACTGTGGGTGAGTAGAAAAATACAATTGCATCGACTCATAAAATATTTACAGCGTAGAAACTCCATGTCATTACTGCTGCTTAAACCCTGACTGGAGCTAAGTCACCACCTCCCTTTGAGGGATGAGATATCAGTTTACTCTAGCTCGACATTGCCCGACTAAAATAAAACTTTGTGGGACACTGCTGTCCACAATTGCAGTCAATTCACTTTACAGTATATTCTGTGAAGTGCTTTGAGGCGTCTCAATTACATGATAAGCCGCTATATCAAATGCAAGTATTATTAATACCTTCTCTTAACCCATTCCCCTAAATTCTCCATGAACTCTTAATAATTGCCGTCAAGTATCCAATACTCTTCTAATCGTGTATTAACTGCTTTTTTTTGACCATCTATGACTATTGTTCTAGGTTTACTTTCCATTCCATTCGGTGTCTTCTATATTTCACTGAAGTGTCCTCTGAAACTTCTCTTTTCATATGGCTGAAGAACCCAAGTTGTTGGACAGTTGCTAATCAATTTGCCAGTTATGATTTGCCCATAAAATGATAGTACTGAATGAACTTGGATTTACAAGGGTAGATTTTTGCATACGTTCTGAATTGATGTGATTTAATCCTATATCCTTTAATTAGGGATAGGAAATAATTGTAACCTATCTATAGTAATGGAAAGTCTTCAGACTTTGAACTGACTTTGAGTGTTCTAGATTGCCAAGGGAGTTAATTGATTTTATAGCTTCCTGGGAGTCACTCTTCATTTGTAAGATGGACATTGATAGCTATGCATATAATAACAACAAAATTGTCTGGCCATATCTCTCCCTGTTTCGACACTGAGCACTAGAATAGTTTACCAATTTCTGTTTGTCCAGTTGACCTTCAAAGAAGATGCGTGGATCGAACTTGCTGGTAGCATTAACTACTGTAGGGAATTGATGACAAGTGAGTTATGTAAATTGTGCGTGTTTTTATTTAGAGAGCATGTTAAAGTTGTACCGAAAACAATATAAACGTGAAACCGGTCAATCAATGAAATCTGCCAATAATAACAACAATAAATAATTATTGTAGTCCTGAAGCTTAGTGGTTAGAGCGCTTGCGAGTAAGTGAGAGGACCCGGGTTCGATTCCTGGCAGGGCGAAATGTTAGGCAAGTTTCCTTACTCCTCACGCCTCTATTTACCTAGCAGTAAGTAGGAACCCAATTGTTGCCGATTGGCAGATCATATTCCGGGGGTAATAATCCCTTCCCAAAAAATAAATAATTTGGTCAAACAATCTACGACTGTTTGTGGGACACTGCTGTGCACAATTGGCTACTGCATATTAAGCACAGAAGATTTACAGTCAATTCACTTTACAGTATATTCTGTGAAGCGCTCTGAGACGTCTTGAAGATATGATAAGGTGCTATATCAAATACAAGGATTATTATTTTTAAATAAATCAATACTTGCATTTAATACAGTGCCTTATTACGTTGGTGAGATGCTTCACAGAATGTATTGTAAAGTGGAATGACTATTTTGTGGGCGAAACGTGGCAACCAATTCTGCACAGCAGTGTCCCACAAACAGCCATGAATTAAGTGACTGGAAAGCGATTCACCAATCGACTTACTACGAGGTAAACAGAAGCGTGTGGAGTAAGGAAACTTGCCTAAGGTTCTATATGGTGTCAACTCACTTTACATTGTATTGTGTGAAGCGCATTGAGACGTCTCGAAGACACGATCAGGCGCTATATCAAATGCAAGATTTATTATATTGATTGCTTAATTCTTTTCAAATGAGTTGGCTGCAGTATTTCTGTTGAAATCCTATTATTATTAAGAGCTATACTGCAGCAGTGTAATGCAATTATAAGCTACTCATTAATTTTACCCACAATAATTTAGTGTTGACATGCTATGTAATTTGCGATAATTTAGATACTGTATATATTAAGGGATTTTTTTAGGCTACTGCGTGGCTTGTCACAGATCCTGTGAATCCTGAAGATTAATTTGAAGGTAAGACTGATATTTCATAGTTATTACAGATGTACTTGCATAGGATATAAAGCCATTCATTTTTGGTTTTAAATCTTAATTTCTTACTGTTATTCTGGTATCATTAGAATGACGTTTTAAATATACTTTGATATTCTTTCACTAATTCTAGAATTTTTTTGTTTTAGTGGTATTATTGTTCATTTTAGTTCAGTTTCATTCAAGTAAATGTTTTCTAATGAAAATAAGGATTTTAATCAACTCCAGGCATCAAAAATATTTCGAGTGGAAAGCAATGACGATGCAAATACAGGGTGTGGGTAAAATATTTGCCAATTTTCAGGTTTGTTTTGCCTGTTTTTATACAGCATGGGTTATAATCATAATAATAAATAATGCTTGCATTTGGTATAACGCCTTATCACTTTGTTGAGATGCCTCAAAGCACTTCACAGAATATATTGTAATGTGGATTGACTGTATATTTTGTGGGCAAAACATGGGAGCCAATTGTGCATAGCAGTGTCCCACAAATAGTCGTGGATTGAGTGACCTTTTTTTTGAGGGATTATTACCCTCCGAACATGATCTGCCAATCAACTAACAACTGGAACCCAGTTGTCAATTATTAGCATTAATTAATTTATTATTAATAATTTTAATCATTCAATCCATGGCTGTTTGAAGGACATTGCTGTGCGCAATTAGCTGCTGTGTTTTGCCCACAAAATATACAGTCAATCCACTTAACAGTATATTCTGTGAGACCAATATCTCTTCCCCCTTCCTCTGCAATCTCCTAACACCATATCAGCCTGTCCGCTCTGCGGACACCTGCTTCAGGTCCCCCGCACTTCCCGCCCCACCATTGGTAGTCGGGCTTGAGCATCTCTATCTCACAATCCGTCCTCCTCAGCCCCTCTCTTGCCTCCTTCAAGTCCTGTCTAAAGACAGTCGTGGGTTGAGTTGCACTTATGAGGTGATTATCATCGCGTCAGGACTTGCATAATATAACAGCATATACCAAATGCACCAAAAAATGCAACATTTGGCATTCACCTAGCAGGAAATGTAGAACAAGACAAATTCTGTTGCTTATTTTCTCTTTAAGTATTTAGAACAGCGTGGAGTCCTGTAGCTCAGTGGTTAAAGCACTCGCCTCACAAGCAAGAGACCTCGGTTTGATTCCCGGCAGGACAAAATGTCGGGCAAATTTCCTTACTCCACATGCCTCTGTTTACCCAGCAGTAAGTAGGAAACCGGTTGTTAGTCAATTGGTGGATCACTTTTCCAGGAGTAATAACAAATGGATGCTACCTACAACGGGAAAAAGTCCTTGAGAATGGAATGCGTACTTGACCCTGGAGGGATGCACCCAGTTTACCCAATTCCAGAGAATATTGGCTAGAGCCAAGTCTTAGGGCCCCCAGAGTGTGCATTTGAGTACTGCTGGAGTTTAAGCAGCTAAAACGACATAGTTTGCCATTGGGAGCACTGTTTGACAAGCTTCCTGCTGCTTCTCTGGCTATGATTCCTCCACCCGAGTGCTCCCAGTGACTGCCTTTCCAAGTCCAGTTGACGAAACAGGCATTTGATATCGTGCCTTATCACATCTTCAAGTTGTCTCCCAAGCGCTTCACAGAGGATATTGTAAAGTGAATTGACTATTTTGTGGATGAGCTGTGATCTGCCATTTATTTATTTACTGAAGACTTCGCAACCCAATCTCTTTCCAGAAGAGCCTCCATTATTTATTCAACTTTTACTCTGGGTAAAGAAAAACTCACACCTCGCCACGTGCCACAACAAGAACAAGTTTACATTTACATAGTGCATTTCACGTTGGGAGTACACCTCAAAATGCTTCACAGAGCAAAACTAGGAGCCTGAGCTGGAACAGGAATGGGATAGGGGAAAAGGCAACTAATAGCAAGGCTGAAAAAGGCCTTAATAACAATAATAATAATCCTTGCATTTGATATAGCGCCTTATCACAAAGTTGCGAAGTCTTAAAGCGCTTCACAGAGGATATTGTAAAGTGGTTGACTGTATTTTGTGGGCGAAACTCGGGAGCTAATTGTGCCTCGCGATGTCCCACAAATGGTTGTGATCTGACTTGAACGGCGCTATGCAAATGTTGGATCGAGGGACTTCAATTTTTTTTGAGGGATTACTGCCTATGAAAAGGGATCTGCCAATTGACTAACAACCCGATTCCTACATACTGCTGGGTAAACAGAGGCACGTGGAGGTAGGAAACTTGCCTAAAGTTTTGCCCTGCCTTGTGATCAAACACGGGTTCTCTCGTTTGCGAGGCTCTAACCACTACCCTACGCGACTCCAAAATAGTAATTAAAATAATATTTTTTTTCCCTTATGCATTGGATTCCTGTTACCATATCTGATGTAAATACTTAATTGTAGAGGCTACAGAGAAGTGTTGTCCTGAATAAACGTTTTATGTTCTGCATTGTATGTCGTAGGCTAAAGACTGTCTGACCGCTAACTTCACAGAACAGATGCCACATTCTGCACCTATTTTTATCAGCCGTGGAATTCAGAAGAAAGAAACCCATCCAGGACAGTGAAGTCTGCCAATGGGTAGATCTCACATGTAACTGTTTACAACGTAAACTACTAAATGCAGGAGACAAACAGCTGACCCACCCGACTTCTGCAGATAAAAGTGGATTTCATGTATTGTCACATGTTTAATGTTTTGTCTCTCTCACAAAATTTTTTTTAAAAAAAGCTTTGTACTTTAAAATTAATTCTGTTGTATTTTTATACCTTAAGCTGCATTAAATGTTCAGAATTAAAAAGCATTAAAATTTGTTCCACTTTGTTGTGTTTTATAGCAAACTTATTGCAGATTGTTAGCATGATTTGCCTATCTAATTAGATGCTAATTGGATATAAAAATTGCCGAGTGAAACATCTAACTTTAATTTCTGGGATAAGAAAAAAAAACTTGATGGCCATGACCTTAATTGAGCTGGATAAAATAATAATAATCCTTACATTTGATATAGCGCTTTATTGCGTCATTGAGACATCTCAAAGCGCTTCGCAGAATACAGTGAATTTTGTGGGCAAAAGACTGTTTTGTGGGTGAAATGTGGCAGCCAATTGTGCACAGCAGTGTCCCACAAACAGTCGTGGATTGAGTGACCAGGTTATTATTTTTTTTAAGTGATTAGTACCCCAGGAAACTGGATTCCCATTTGCTGCTGGGGAAGTAGGTGTGTGGAGTAAGGAAAGTTGCCTTATATTTCGCCCGGGAATTGAACCCGGGTCCTCGTGTTTGCGAGGTGAGTGGTGTAACTAATCTGCTACAGGACTACACAAAAATCCCAAAGGGAGCTGTTGCATTAACACACTCAATCTTACATGAAGTAGGAGAATAATAATAATTCTTTGATTTTGATACAGCGCTTTTCACGTCGGGAGGACATCACAAAGCGCTTCACAGAACACACTGCAAAGTGAATTGACTGTATATTTGTGGGCGAACGCGGCAGCCAATTGCGCACAGCAATGTCCCACAAACAGTCGTAGATTGAAAATGACCAATTTATTATTGTTTTTGGTTTTGGAGGTATTATTATTAGTCTAACTTCCTGGAAAGAACAACCAGAGTAATTGCATGAGCTATTCTCAATTAAAGAGAATGAAAATTTCTGATTTGAGTGCAACTCCTAGACTTTTGTTTATGTTCTCCTTCAGAATAAACTTTCCAATTAATTTGAACGCGCCTCCAATTAGCCACATCCTAAATTTCTTCCAGTCCTATGGAATCCTTTTCTAATTTTAACACCATTTTTTAGAAAATAGACATGTTTATTGAGTTCATTTGTTGTTCAAATATAACTACTGTATATCCATTTGAAGTTTAATGTAGCGTCTACAATGAGAGCAGCCTTACATTTTATCATGTCCTTCTCTCAAGACTGAAGAGCTCTCACTTATCTAATTATTCCTTATACGATAGCTCATTCCTCTAACACTGGATTCATCCTTTCGCTTTCCTCTACACTGCCTCAAGGTCCATTATGTCAGACAGCGGATGTGTATACAGTACTCCAAGTGGAGCCTGACCAGAGCACCGTAATACACTGACACCCGGTTGGCGAGACTAAGGGGGTTGATCCGCTCTGGTGAACAGGAATTTTTGGCTAAGTGTAATAATAATAATAATAATCCTTGCATTTGATAGAGCGCTTTTCACGTCGGGAGGACGTCCCAAAGCGCTTCACAGAACACACTGTAAAGTGAATTGACTGTTTATTTGTGGGCGAACGCGGCAGCCAATTGCGCACAGCAATGTCCCACAAACAGTCGTAGGTTGAAAATGACCAATTTATTATTGTTTTTGGTTTTGGAGGGATTATTATTAGGCTCTGTGTGGAGTAAGGAAACTTGCCCGAGGTTTCGCCCTCTGCCTGGAATTGAACTCAGGTCTCTCTTACAAAGCGAGTGCTCTAACCACTGAGCTACAGGACTCCACAATTAATTGTATTATTAATTACAAGGTCAGTAGTGACGTTTACTGTTTTTTGGGTGCCGGTAAATTCTGGTGCCGGCATTGTAACTGATTATGACAGATAAGCAATCCTCTGCTTCGGGATTAAAACTGAGACAAAGTCAATATCTCTGGCTACTGAAGGCAGGCAGTAAGGACAGTGAGGCAGGGTGCGGGATCAGAGAGTTGGGCAGTCTGGAATCTACCCATGGGCTTCTGTTCCAGGCCGCGGTCCGGGTAGGTATGAATTCTGGATCCCTGGAGTCCGTCCAGTGAGCCAAGGTTTGCTGTATTTAGGGAATGTAGCCCAGTATCCCGTTTGCCTCGTTTATTGCGCCGGACAGATTTAATTAGTCCATCATTACAATGCTCCACCGCCAATCATCAAATGCAGTTTTTGATGTTGTAAATTTTGTAAATGATTATTGAAGTTTGATCCTGCCTTCTGCTTAACTCGATTTACATAATACATTGTGATTTTAAAAATCCCTGTATTTGATACATAGCACTTTTCACATCATGAGGGCATCTTAAAATTCTTCACAAGATATGGTATAGAGTTAAGGGACCGTATTTGTAGGCTTTTGATGAAGGCTTTATATCTAAGATGTTTAATCACTGATGCCCGGGTGGATACTTTACAGGGAAATACTTCCCTATTCAGAAATTTGATTTTATATTTTTTAATCGCCACTTTACACAAGAGCGCTGAATGGTTTTGAGATTTACAGTCCGACGAGCAAGTTAACGTTGTTGTTAAAAATCACATTACACAAAAATTGGTACCACGTTAAACACTCTTAGTAGATAGCATTTATTATATCAGACCAGTTGTATCAAGTGAAATAAGTATAGCCTGAACCAGATTAAATAGCGTTGAATTCAGAATATGTAGCAACAGCCAATCCAGTTTTGAGTTTTTAAATAGGAATAAGTGGAGATCACTTCCATCTATAATAATCCTTACATTTGGTACAGCGCCTTATCACATCTTCAAGACATCGCAAAGCGCTTCACAGAATAGACTGTAAAGTGAATTAACTGTGTATATTGTGGGGGAAACAAGGCAACTAATTGCGTACAGCAGTGTCCCACAAACAGTCTTGAATTGAGTGACCACATTTTTTAAGGGATTATTACCCCTGGAAAAGCGATCAGCCAACCGACTAACAACTGGGTTCCAGCTTACTGCTGGGGAAACCGAGGCGCGTGGAGTAAGGAAATTGCCCAACGTGTGTTTAGTCCTGCCCGGGAATCAAACCCAGGTTCTCTCGCTTGCGAGGCGAGCGGTCTAACCACTAAGCTGCAGGACTCCACTAATAGTGTTAAGATATGTACCTGATCTGTGTTATAACTGGAGTAAGGTACTTTATTTACATAAAAACAGTTCATTGTCATACTTTGTACCACAAAAAAAGACAGCAGCAAACACTGGGTGCCAATGGTTAACAGTGCGGAGGGTACTCGTGTATTGTCTGACATTTAATTCTGAACATAGACAGTGGATGAGCTAATGGATGAGTTTGTATTTGCCAAGTGCATTTACGCGGACAATATTTTGTGGAATCTTTATTTTTTCTTCCTGAAGGAGACCTTTTCTTTGGTTTCTTGTATTTTCCCAGATATTTTGTCCTTTGTCTCCTCCATTTTCCCAGATATTTTGCCCTTTGTTTCTTCCATTTTCCCACTAAGCATTTCTTTTGTCTCTTCCATCTTCTCTGAGAACCGCTCCCTGGTTTCATCCATCTTATCCTGGATGTAGTCCCTCACTGGAGGTGGTGTTGACATATACCCATGGGTGCGGAGATATTTCACTGCAAAGGATGTTCCTCCCAGGGTCACCGTGTACCTGGCTGGTGTTGCAATCTTTAAAATAAAACGTAAAGAAAAAAAATCAAGCCTATGGGACTTAATTCCCTCGGGAATCAATCCACATTTAAGTGTCCCAAGCAAAGAGAACACTTGCAAAGATTCACAGTGAAAGAGATTAGTCTGTTAAACTCCTAATAATAATAATAATTCTTGAATTTGATATAGCGCCTTATCATGTCGTGGAGACATCTCAAAGCTCGATTGATCTCAAAGCTGAAATGGTGTACACTGTCCAGCTCTTTGGGACATCCTCCCGGCGTGAAAGGCGCTAAACAAATGTAATCTTCTTGTTGTTGTATTTTGTGGGCAGGAAACGGCAGCCAATTGTGCACATCAGTGTCCTGCGAACAGTTGTGGATTGAGTGACCATTTATTATTTTTTTTGAAGGGATTTGCAATCCATCAATTGATTTGACAATCAGTTCCTACTCACTGCTGGACAAACAGAGGTGGGTGGAGTAAGGAAACTTGCCTAAGGTTCGAGGCAAGTGCTCCAACCAATAAGCTACATGACTCCATGAGTTACAGCAGATTGCGGGAAGGAATATCATTTGATTATTTTGGGGAGCAGCAAGTGTGGCAGACATGAAGGGAACATTTTTGAATTTGACCCTTGTGGGTGGATATTTTATTTTAATGAGTCACCTCCTCAAATAGCCTTACCGTGTTCTCTTAATTTTTTATATTCCAAAAATAAAATAATAATTTGGTCACTCATTCTACAACTGTTTGTGGGACATTGCTGTGCGCAACTGGCTGTCGCGTTTCGCCCACAAAACTACACAGTCAATTCACTTTACAATATATTCTGTGAAGTGCTTTCACACTGCAGCAATTGGTTGCCTGGGTATAATTTATTACTGGATCAACAGCAGAGAAATTAATTCTGTATTGGGTTTTTAACGTAGACAAATACTGTTTCAAATTATACTGCAGCAGGGAAAGCTAAATATCAATTATCCCCTTTCGACCACAAAATGTACAGTCAATTCACTTTACAGTGTATTCTGTGAAGCGCTTGGAGATGTCTCAACGATTTGATAAGACGCTTTATCAAATTCAAGGATTATTATACTCTCTTCCAATTGTCCACTAAAGAGTTTTGCCACATACGTATTATGAGTGATAACAATGTTGTCAGTGGCAAATGCAACAAATACAAATATCTTCAGATTTTGACTTGTTTGGTGTACATAAGAAAATGGGAGAAGGGGAGTCATTTATGTTTCCTATACCATGTAACCGGTTAACAATTTCAGGCAGAGGAACGCGATCAGTTCACTGGCTTACTCATTTCAACTTCCTAAATGAGGTTTTTGTCACAGGCGCTGACAGCATCACCATCCATGGGGCTCACTCCACCTCACTAAGCCAGTCTGGAACCTCGGGGTCTTGTTTGACCCTCAACTATCCTTTCTACCCCACATCTGCGCCATGACCTGCTCTGCCTTCCCCACCTCCACAACGTCTCCCAGCCCTGACACTGTCTCACACCGCAGCCCCCGAGACCCTCACACACGCCTTCGTTACATCGAGGCTCGACTATGGAAACTCACTGCTCGTCGGCCTCCCCAACTCCTCCCTCCACAGACTGCAGATCATTCAGAACTCTGCAGCCCGTGTCCTCTCCCGTACTAGACTCAGCGACCCTATCAACCCCATCCTCGCCCGACTCCACTGGCTTCCCATCACGTAGGGGATACAGTTCAAGATCCTGGTCCTCACCTTCAAAGCCCTCCATGGTTTTGCTCCCCCCGACCTCTGCGACCTCCTAACCCCCTACCATCCTCCTCTCTCCCTCCACTCAGCGGGCTCTGGCCTGCTTCACATCCCCTGCCTCACCAGCCCCACTATTGGCGGGTGGGCCTTCAGCCACTCTGCCCCCACCCTCTGGAACTCCATCCCGCAGTCCCTCCGTCTCGTCCCCTCCCTCGGCCCCTTCAAGACCCACCTCAAGACCCTCCTCTTCGACTGCGCTTTCGATCTTTCTGCTAACCCCCTGCCCTCCCCCCTTCCCCTCAGCTCGGGTCGGTAAATCTGTCTGTCCAGCGCCTTGGGATGTCCTCCCGATGTGAAAGGCGCTATACACATATAGTTTTGTTGCTGTTGATGGAACTAACTCAAATTCATTAAATGGTGTCAGTATTGTGTCTACAGTAGTCTATTTTAAAAACATTTTGTAGTTACTTATTTTGAAATTAAAACCTGGCTCTTACTGTGATCCTCTCAGTCATGGAGGGTTGATCAAAGGCAGGTCACGCATCACTGCAGACAATGTTTTTGAGCACATATCAATCAACAGTGTTATTTTCTGTTTGGTCCAGTTAAAAGCTTCAGGAAATTGGGCACAGCAGTGTCTCCCCACACAGCAGTGGATTGAGTGACCAAATTATTGTTATTTTTTTTGAAGAGATCATCACCCCCAGAAAGCAAGCCACCAATCGACTAACAACCGGGTTCTTACTTACTGCTAGGTAAACAGAGGCGCGTGGAGTAAGGAAAAACTTGCCCAAGGTTTTGCCCTATGCGGGAATTGAACCCAGGTATAGAACTTGAGTCCTCTCGCTTGCGAGGTGAGTGCTCGAACCAATATGCTAGAAGACTATAAAGTGTAATGACTGTGTATTTGTAGATGAACCCTACAGCCAATATGCATCCCACAAGCAGAAAAGTAAGTGTCCAATTTCAGGAATCCACTTGGGAGATTACATGAAAGAAATGCTAAACGTGAGTCTGTAAAAGGAATGAGAAAGGTTTAAGAAACAGCTTCTTACTGTGCACAGTGCAATAATCCAATTTCCGTGGAAGGTGGAACTGGTTTAAATGCTCTTAAGAATGGAGATGGGTTTCCGTGTGTTTCAGACACAGCTGATCAAAAATACGTAATCCTAGTCTGTAAACTGAAACCTAACTCTACTATATATATTTTTTAAAAAAGCAGTTTGACAACACAGCTGGTAACTTGACAATTTACTAGTAGAGCAGTGCATAGTCTTCAATAACTGTTACTCACCTTGTACAAGGCATAAGCAGTCAGTGCATTTCCACCCTGAGATTTTCGCAGAAGATTTAATAAACTATCAGGCAGTCCGAGCAACTCAAAAAACGGAACCACATTAACACCTCTGAAAGTAAAGAGAACATTATTTTAGCACCTAATCAGTTTAATTTGCAAAATTATTTTTACAAATATATAACGTTGAAAGTTATTCCCCCCACTGTTCTTCAGTTGGGTCACATGGAGCCATTTCATTCCACAACCAACAGTGAGGAAGGAGCAGGAGATGGCTGGGTTCAGCCAATCTCCTGTTCGTCACTCACCCCACATGAAGGGCGCTATATAAATGCAAGTTGTTGTAGTTTTGTTTTAAAAAACACTTTTCGTTTAGGAAAGTGTTTGAATATTTGCAAATGTACTCAATTCCCAGTGAGGTATACTGAATTTCTTGACTGAGCTCTTTTGTATAAACAAATAGATTTGACTAGATTTGATAAAACTCAGAGTTTCAATATTTATCAGGTTTCTTATGCGTATGTTCTGCAATCTGCATATACGTTTTCTCCCAATTTTCGGGATCTCCATCCCTGGAGTCCCTCCGACTCGCTCCCTCCCTTTCAAGGTACATCAAGACCTACTTTTTTACTACATTTATCTTTTCCCCTCCCAATCCCACCTCCCTCGGCTCCCACTCTCGGCTCGGATGCCCAGCTGGCAGTGTCGAGCGTTTTTAGATGTACTTCCAATGTGAAAAAGTTGTTATGTTTCTGGAAGTGAAATACAAAAATATTACTTATGAGGCCCACGAACATTTCTCAAATAGGGTATCTGGACCTTTGCAGCCAAACGGTTTGACCACCCTGTCTTAGACTATGACTTCAAGTTATGATGTGGGGCTTGAACCAACAATCTTCTGACTGAGAGGCGATAGAGCAATAAAAATAATTTTTTTACAATGCCGCAAGGCAGAAGAATTAAGGAAACAAATGAAAACAAAACATAGCTGGAGCCTTAGAAACTGCATTGGGGTTAAAGAGGAACGGAGAGAACGAACACACTCACCAACAGGTGTCTAAAACACACTTTTATACAGGTAATAAATGTGGATATATTTTTACAATTGTCGATGTCTCAGTTTGTGCAAGTGGGAGAATTATTGAAAAAAACTAATTAAATAAAAGTAACCATCAATATAAGAACATAAGAAATGCTAGACAAAAAAAACCAGGGTCCCTCTAGTTCGCTTCCACCTTCCTGGTGGTTGCATGTACATGTGTCCCAAACTCCCTATGTACTGTATCACATAATGTTATTTCCTAAAAAACTATCTAATCTGTGTTTGAAGGAATCAACGTTTCCTGCTTCAACCGTCTCCCCGGGAGCCTGGTCCACAGGGTCACTATTCGCTCACTGAAATAGCGTTTGCATAGATTTGTTCTGAATTTACCCCCTATTCTGGGCAAATTGTTTTGCCGCTTTAGAGTCTTAAAGACAGCAATCGTGTCGCCTCTCAATCTTCTCTTTTCCCGCGTGAACATACACAATTTACTGAGTCGCTCCTCACAGTCCAGTCCCTCATTCCCTCAATCATTTTCGTTCCCCTCTTCTGTATCTTCTCGATTTCTCCAATATTCCTTTTGTGCTGCAGTGACCAGAACTGTACAGTCTCACCAATGATTTATAGAGTGACAGGATTACCCCACTGTTTCAGCTGCTACTGATCTTTTGATATTTTTATTTCTGTCCAAGTGCTCCATGATTTTATCCTTAATAAGAGATTCCATAATTTTACCCACAGTGGACGTCAAACTTACTGGTCTGTAGTTTATATTATCCTAGGAAATTCAGAAAAAATAAAACTTGATTTTGAATCTCCCCCTCATTATAGCTAATTATAGAATAATGGAATTGACCTCAAATGGGAGAATCAAACAGTGACCAGAGACAAACAGGGAATACAGGAATATGTTTAACTGAAGATAGATGGCACAGTCATATTTAGGTTAATATTTATTAACCATATTGACCATAATATTAACCATAATATTTCAGTTATTAGCTGGAGTTAGATTAGAAGATTAGCCTTGATTGAATGGCGGGGCAGGCTCGAAGGGCCAAATGGCCTACTCCTGCATGTTTTGTTATTTAGTCCCATGCTGTACTCGCATCTCCCCACCCAGTGTATGTAGCAAGCTCCAACACCTGAGAAAGGGTGGGGGGAATCCAACATTTACAACCACTCGATCAGCAGAGAGGAAAACAGTTCAGAACATATAAACTTCCTAATCTGTAGTTGGCTCCTGTGTAACCAACTACAGTCTGGCTACCAATGATTTTTTTGCACAATTTCCAATATTTAAATCTTCAGAATATTAGATTCTTACTTTTCACGTTCGTCATACTTGTGGCATCGTAAACTTAACTCTTGTGAAAGTTTTCTTAAAGAATTAAAAAGAAATGAATACACGTATAGAAAATATACAATCACTGTTTTCTGTGAAGAGCTTTGTGACATCCTCCCGACATGGAAGAATATTCTCATTTTGAAGAGTGCCATGGGATCTTTAATGTCTATCGGAACAGGCAGATGAGATCTTGGTTTAATGTCTCATCCACAAGGTCAACTTTATATTCAGTTAGTTTTTGCACTTCTTGGTTTACTGAAAAATGACTAAACCCTTAAATTCATCTTAAAAAAAAGTAACCAGTGCAGTCAGAATGTGGCAGGTCTAACTGGACATGAGGGTTGAGATGCAGCTGGACCTATTCAGTTTGACAGTGACATTGATGGTAACCCTGTTGAAATCCAAACCCAACAAGAAAGTATTTATAAATTATGGCTCTCTTTCTAGAACATTTTGTGAAGTACTCAATCCCACTTCACTGGTCAGCGATGATTGCTACTTGCCCTTGAAAATAAATAACAGTATTTGGTAATATCTTTGCAAACAGTAAATAAAGAGTATAAAACTCATCAAATGTGGTGTGAAATAAACTACAAAAAGCTTTTCCCATTAATAATAATCATTGCATTTGATATAACACCCTTCACATTGGGAAGTTGTCCCAAAGTACTTCACAGCATAGTGTAGTGTAGTGATAAAGTGTAGCGTAGTGTAAAGCCACGGGGATGTCCTCCCGCCGTGAAAAGCACTACACAAATGTAATCTTGTTGTTGTAGTAGTGATTGTGTGTTTTGTGGACAAACGTGGCAGCCAATATGCACACAGCAATGTCCCACAAACAGCAATGAAGTGGAGGACAATTTTTATTGGGGGCCTGAAGGCCAGAACAAAGAAACTCCCTTCTCTTCGTGAATAGTGCCATTGAATCTTTAATGTCCATTTGAACAAGGAAATAGGACTTCAGTTTAACATCTCACCTGAAAGATAACGCCTCCAACAGTGCAAGACACCCACAGGACTGCACTGTAGGATCATCTTAGACTGTATGAGTTCAGTTTCGATGTGGGGCTTGAACCAACTATCTTCTGACTCAGAGGCAAAAGTACTAGCAACTGAGCCAAAGTGACCCACTACATTACAGATGTATCAGAATTAATTGCATTAAGACAATGTATTGTGCCTTCCACAGATAATTTTGGAGTCCTCCAGCTTAGCGGTTAGAGCACTCGCCTTGCAAGCTCGAGGATCTGGGTTTGATTCCCGGTGGGGGAAGACGTTGGGCAAGTTTCCTTACATCACTGTTTACCGATTGCTGAATCGGTTTTCCATGGGTAATAATTCCTTCAATAAATGTTTTAAATAATTTGGTCATTCAATCCACGACACTGTTGTGTGCAATTGGCTGCTATGTTTTGTCCACTAAATATAGTTAATTCACTTTACAGTATATTCTGTAAAGCACTTTCAGACGCCTCGAAGATGTGATAAGGTGCTATATCAAATGCAAGAATTATTATATTATTCTTTCATTATGCTTTACATACTGGGAGTGAACATGCATTATGCTCAATTGAATATACAGAGAAGCCCGGTTATAACATGGCGGTTTAGGTTCCATATAATCTCAACCTGCATTTTAACAAGGCCATGTTAGTCAGTTTCATTATGTGTTGTAGCCGGCCGGCTTGCTTCCTGCACTAAAACAGATAACTTTGGGCTATCAGTTTACCTCTGTTGTCACCACTGTGTGCTGCGCATGTATAAAGTGGAGTCCTGTAGCGTAGTGGTTAGTGTGCTCAACTCTCAAGGAAGAGGACCGGGTTTGATTCCAGGGTGGGGCGAAACCTGAGGAAGTTTCCTTATTCCACACGCCTCTATCTACCGAACAGTAAGTAGGAACCTGGTTGTCATTTGATTGGTGGATCACTTTCCAGGGGTAATAATCCCTAAAAAAAATGTGGTCATTCAATCCGTGACTGTTTGTGGAACACTGCTGTGCGCAATTTGTTGCTGGGTTTTGCCCACATAATACACAGTCAATCCACTTTACAGTATATTCTGTGAATCGCTTTGAGACATCTCAACGACGTGATAAGGCGCGATATCAAATGCAATTATTATTAGGACGATGAAGTAGAAAGTGACGCAATGATTTTTATGACCCAGAAGTCAGTCACTTTTAGCTCGCAGGAAGCCAGTCATCAGGTCTCTACCGACATCAATTCTTGTGAGCTGGCCTATCAGTGGATATATTTCAATTGACACTTACTTCATTGCTGCGTAGTAAAACGTACCGAACCATAGAGTGGACGTAAACAGGTGAACCGGAATCATAACTTTCCCATACTGTTTAAAAGTCTTTTTGAATCGCTGAAAGAGACTGATCGAGCTGTCCTGGAGGGGATCGGTTTCTACAGGAGCCGCCTCTTGTTCCTGTTTAGTATCATAATAATAGGTTTCCTGAATTGAGTCACTTGGCAATCTTTGCTGCCCCTCCCCGCTTCCTGACAAAGTAGTTGGGTCAAAAAGGTTGGGCTGGTCAGGACTCTCTTGGGCCGCAGGCGACTGTTTTTCATGCGGGCGACTTTTCCTCGGTTCTTTCTGTGGGTTTGTCTTCCTGTGTTCGGACACACTGAGGGACCGTGACGCGTGTAGCAGCTGGCCCCTGTGAGGGCTCAGCACCAGCAGTCTACTACTACATGTCGTTGGCAATAAGTGAGCGGGACTTGTCAAGGCACCACTGAATGCTCTTTTTGAGTTCCAGAGCACAGACTGAAAGAAATACCTCTGCATTTTCATTTAGTAGTTTAATATGTTCCTGTCCCGTCTTGAAGAACTGGAAAAAAATAGAAAAATGTTTAAAATAAAACAACCCTAGATTCTCCTTTCATGCGTGATTAAGCATTTCTTTACCATCTTTGGTCGGCCGGGAGTCTGACACATGTGGAGCACCATCACAGGGCTTCAGAGTATCCAAACCCAACTGAGAATTCCCTGCCTCCCACCTACACATGGAAATCCCAGAGACAGATTGTTGGAATGGACTGCGCTCTCTCTCCCTGGAGGGACGTCAATTGCAGGATTTAATGAAGAACCCTATTCAAGTCTGCTTTACATATCAGGTTTACAAATCCCTCCCTCGCTACCATCTCATCCCTAATTTTTAACTTGAATACAATTTTTGACTTCAGACCTCATGTCTTAAAATTAATATTGATACGCCCTCCTTCAGATTTAGAGCACTCCACAAGACACGTGGAAAATACGTATCATTTGTGAAAAACAACTCTTGAACCACAAGTTATAGGACAGTACTTTTTCATTTACTGTCCAGACAATGACAACAACAACTTGCATTTATATAGCGCCCCTTTTGCAGGGTAGTGCCTGGAGTGCTTGACAATGGCAGAGCACGACGCTGCGGCGGGGGGAGATGACCGTAGGTACGGTCGAATAGGAAGATGTTCAGGCAGGACCTGAAGATCGGGAAGGAAGGCAGAGGGATAGAGGAAGAGTGTTCCAGAGTTTCGAGGCAGCGCAGCCACCAATGGTGGAACGGAGGACCCAAGGGACGTGCAAAAGGTCGGAGCCAGTCGAGCAATGGCCTTCAAGGGTGCAGTGCCCTCCTGGTATATGTACATCTGAAGATAACAACAATGTATAGTCATAGATATTCAGATGAGCCTATCATTATTCATGGCATTAAATAAATTATAGCATACAGTAGCTACATTGGACAGCATTACTGTACTTATACAGTTATAAAAAGTAAGTGAAATACTGCACCCAAATAACTAGTCATAAGACCAATTACCTCTATCAATCAGATCACAGCTTAGAATTTCAACCTCCACTTCATCAGAGTTTGGTCAGTGACCAAACAACAATCACCAAATTACATTTGTATAGTACCTTTTACGTTGGGAGGATGTCTCATGGCGTTGGACAATCAGTGTTTTGGACCTGAGCTGGGGGTGGGGATTGGGGAGGGTGGGAGGCAGGGGGGGAAGGAGGGTGACCGATGGCACGGTCGAAGAGGAGAGTCTTGAGAAGGGTCTTCAAGGAGGCAAAGGAGGGGACAAGATGGAGGGACTGTAGGATGGAGTTCCAGAGGATGGGGCAGAGTGGCTGAAGGCCCGCCCGCCAATGGCGGGGCAGGAGAAAGGGGGACGTGAAGCAACAGTCAGAAGGAAACACTGGATGGTTCTGTTTATCCACATGAATCATAGTTACAGCTGTTCAGCCTCCTCTCTCTAAGATGTTGACTCATGCTGGGATATAGCTCCAGAAACATCAGTAATATCTAGTAACTCCTGCAAGTGGCCTTGTACACATTTAATATACATATACATGTAGAAAAAAAAGTCAATAGATGGTAATCAGGAACAGGAATTCTGGTTAATCATTCCTCAGTCTCGCCATGGCTGGTAAAATGAATTGCCACATTTCCACAAGTCTTCTTGAACAACCCAACTCAGCACCAACCACAGGTCAAACTGGGAACATATCTAGAACACATCTTGGAGCTTCCTGGTGCACTCTATTTAGCGTTGAGTTGTGAAAAAACTCAACATTTAATGTAGTCGGAGACTGCTTATTCAAATGTTGATTTTCCAAATTATACAGTCAACCAGACTGGCAGGGCATCTCAGTAAGGCCCTGGCGCCCAATCATTTAGCTTGTCATGTCTGCTCCAGACTTAAAAAAGGTAAGATTCGGGCGTTCAAATTCCTAGAATCCTTTCAATAAAATTAAAATTGTCCATTCTTTTAAAAAAGTACTCATCAGGGGAATGGTGAAAGAAAGAAGCGTTCGAGTGGGTCTGAACTATAACAACAGTAATCCAAGAGTAAATTAAGAGTTGTAAATGTGTCCTAAACCATGAAAATCAAAGCTTCGATGGATAGGGCTGCCTGACCTGGGCAGGTAATGTGTTGCAATGCATGGTTACAATTAATTAGCTCAACAACAACGACAAATTACATTGGTACAACGCCTTTCATGTCAGGGGACATCCCAAAACGTTGGACAGTCAAGGATTTGCACCTGAGCTGGGGTTGGGATCAGGAGAGATAGAGGGCAGGGAGGGTGTGGATAAGAAGTGACCGAAGGCCTTGACCGAAGACCGAGGGTATTGAGATGGGCTTCGAAGGAAGCAAGGGAGGGGGCGAGCCAAAGGGACTGTTGGGGCAAAAAGGCTGAAGGCCCAATCAACAACAATATTACATTTATAGAGCGCCTTTCACGTCGGGAGGACTTCCCAAGGCGCTGGACAGTCAGGTGTCAGGACCCGAGCATGGGGGAGGGGTGGGGTAAGGGTGAGGGAAGGCAGAGAGGTGGGAGGGCGACTAAACGCACGATCGAAGAGGAGGGTCTCGAGACCGGCTTTGAAGGAGGCGAGGGAGGAAGCGAGGTGAAGGGACTTGGGATGGAGTTCCAGAGTGTGGGGGCAGAGAGGCTGAAAGCCCGGCCTACGATTATAGGGTGGGTCGGACGGGAGACATGGAGCAGCCCGGAGCCCGATGAACGGAGGGAGCGGGCAGATTGGTAGGGTGTCAGCAGGTCAGAGAGGTAGGAGGGGGCAAGGCCATGGATGACCTTGAAAGTGAGGACGAGGATCTTTAATTCGATCCTCTGGGGCATGGGGAGCCAGTGGAGTCGGGCGAGGGTGGGAGTGATGGGGTTACGGAGCCTGGTGCGCGAGAGTCCACGAGCTGCAGAGTTTTGGATGATCTGCAGCTTGTGAAGGGAAGAGTTGGGAAGGTCGATGAGGAGGGAGTTTCCATAATCGAGCCTTGATGTGACGAATGTGTGGGTGAGGGTTTCGGCAGCCTGAGGGGTGAGGCAATGGCGGAGTCTGGCAATATTGCGGAGGTGGTGGTAGGCAGTGCCGGTCATGGTGCGGATGTGGGGGAGAAAGGACAGTTCAGGGTCAAACAAAACACCCAGGTTCCTGACTGGCTTTGTGAGGTTGAGTTGCAGCTGTGGAGGCTGATGCTGCCAGAGCCCGAGGTGTGGAGGCGCTGGTGTGAGCCAATCAGGAGGGCCTCGGTCTTGCTGATGTTCAGTTGGATACAATCCCATACAATCAAATTATTCTGTTCTGTTGGTTATTCGTGGATTTATTAAAACAAGAAGTCCTTCCCTCAACTGTTTGAACGAATAAACCACTCAAGATCAGAGCGCATACATACAAGATAACCGGTAGTAGATCTAACAGGGAGTCTGGCAGCAATCACTTCACATAGAGGGTGGTGATAATGTGGAAACCATTGCTGGAAGCTGCGGTTGAAGCAAAAAGCATCGATGTATTTAAAAAAAACGTGAGGCTTCCTCCGGCCTATTTGCAAAGTCCAGGATAGGAACGTAGGAATATGGCAAACATGGAAAGCTGCTGCAGGAAGGGAGGGCAGGCTCCGGCCTACACTGACCTGTCACTGAGCATCCTGAAGGCAGAGGCAACTTCACAGTGGGCACAGCTATTTGCCAAAAACCCTCACGGGGACCTGGATTAAGCAGCTGGTGCTTAGCAAGCCGGGTAAGCAGCATTGTACTTATAATAACAACCCTTGCATTTGATATCGCGCTTTTCACGTCTGAGACATCTCAAAACGCTTCACAGAATATACTGTAAAGTGAGTTTAATGTATATTTATGGGCGAAACGTGGCAGCCAATTGCGCACAGAAGTGTCCCACAAACAATCGTGGATTGAGTGACCATACTTGGCCGTCAAGAACATCAAGGTGACTTGCAAATCACAAACTATCCTGTAAAGGTCCTTCCACCACATTGAAGGCTGCCAGACAGAAGCTGATGAGGAAACTCTGAAGTTTGCGGCAACACCTGCTGTAAGGTGTTACCTGGAGTCTGAGTTTGTGAATATGCGTTTCTACATCCAACATCTGAGTTGTTGTTTGGTGCTTGAAAAATAAGTTTTGTGTGGGTGCCTAATTTGTTTTTTAAATTTAAACCTGCAAAACGTGTTTTTTCCCCTTATCTCTCTCTCTCACCCCCCTCCCCCCCAATCTTTTCTTACATGCAGTTTTTAAAGCACTAAATTGGCCACTCTGCTGCTCACCCACAATTGCGGGAATGTATAATACAATATTTGGGGGCCTACTCTGTTTACCGAGCAGTAAATAGTAACCCGGTTGTTAGTTGATTGGGGGAATCGCTTTCCGGGGTAATAAATATGGTCACTCAATCCATGACTGCTTGTGGGACCAGCTGTCCCATTTCGCCCACAAAATACACTTTACAATATATCCTGTGAAGTGCTTTGAGACATTACAACAATGTGATAAGGTGCTATATCAAATGCAAGGATTATTATTATAACAACATGCATTTATATAGCGCTCCTCACACAGGGTAACGTCCCAGAGTCCTTGACAGTGGCTGAGCATGATGCCAAGCTGGGGGAGGGGACCGTAGGCACAGTCGAAGAGGCAGGTCTTCAGCCCTGACCTGAAGAAGGAAGGGGCAAGGCAATAGCAAGCCGAAATAGTCTGGTAATCCTGCCACTGTATAACCCATTGGCGAGACCATACTTACAGCATAGGACTGTGCTGTCTACCTCCAGTTAAACATGTTCTTGTATTCCCGTCTTATTGGTCTCTGGTCTGGGCACTGTTTGATTCTCTCCATTTGAGATCAACAACAACAACAACAAGATTACTTTTGTGTAACGGCTTTCACGTCGAGAGGACGTCCCAAGGTCAATCAAGGTCAGGAAATAACATTATGGGATGCAATGCACAGGGAGTTCAGGACAGGAAGGCGGAAGGCGAACTAGATGGACCTTGGTCTTTCTTCGTCCAGCATTTTATATGATAGTAGGTGAAAGCGCGGCTGCCAATGGTGGAACAACAGGGCACAAAGTACGGGCAGAAATGCACTGCCTGAAAGCAGGTTCAATAATAACTCTGAAAAGGGAATTGGATATTTACTTCAAATGAAATAATTTGCAGAGCTATGGGGTTAAGAGCGGGGGAGTGGGACGAGTTGGTGGCTCTTTCAAAGAGCCGGCACAGGCGCGATGGGCCGAATGGCCTCCTTCTGTGCTGTCAGATTATAGAATTCGATAATTACAAAGAAAAATTATTTTAATTGCTGGCAAAACCCTGGCAGCGGCAGCAGCAGCAGCACCCCCAGCCCCCCTCTTCCCCCACCCCAGGCCCCCCACCCCCACCCCACCCCCCCCCACCCCCAGCCCCCCCCTTCCCCCCCCCCAGCCCAGGCCCCCCAGCCCCCCCCAGGCCCCCACCCCCAGCCAGCCCCCCACCCCCCCAGGCCTCCCACCCCCAGCCCAGCCCCACCCCCAGCCCAGGCCCCCCAGCCCAGGCCCCCACCCCAGCCCCCCACCCCAGCCCAGGCCCCCACCCCCCAGCCCGCCCCCCACCCCCCACCTGCAAAACAACACACCACAGCGCTGACCCTGAGGAGGACAACTTCAAAGCCAACGTCTGTTTTCCCCCTCTATTTGGGGGCGGCCCAAGGCCGAGCCCAGGGGCCGAGGGGGGGGGGGGGGGCACCCGCGTGGCTTCTGCACTGAGCGGTCAATCCTCGGCCCTGAGAGCTGTGACTTAAAAGTTTTATCAACTTCTCTCGCCGCCCCGCGTTCTGTAACTCACGTGTTGAGAAGAGAGAGGGCGGCGGGAGGTCCGGGCGGGAGGTCCGGGCGGGAGGGCGGCGGCGGCGGCGGCTCGCGGAGCGGCGGCTGAGGCTGAGGGGGAGGCGGCGCTTCAACGAACGCCGCGGCTCGAGCGCCTCCACACCGAGGGCCCCACTGCGCACGCGCGCCACGCCAAGGGGCACTCTGGGTCGTGGAGTTCCTGTGAGCCACCCCGATGCGCCTCCTCCACGCAGCGCCAGACACGCATGAGGGCGACTAAACGCACGATCGAAGAGGAGGGTCTCGAGACCGGCTTTGAAGGAGGCGAGGGAGGAAGCGAGGTGAAGGGACTTGGGATGGAGTTCCAGAGTGTGGGGGCAGAGAGGCTGAAAGCCCGGCCTACGATTATAGGGTGGGTCGGACGGGAGACATGGAGCAGCCCGGAGCCCGATGAACGGAGGGAGCGGGCAGATTGGTAGGGTGTCAGCAGGTCAGAGAGGTAGGAGGGGGCAAGGCCATGGATGACCTTGAAAGTGAGGACGAGGATCTTTAATTCGATCCTCTGGGGCATGGGGAGCCAGTGGAGTCGGGCGAGGGTGGGAGTGATGGGGTTACGGAGCCTGGTGCGCGAGAGTCCACGAGCTGCAGAGTTTTGGATGATCTGCAGCTTGTGAAGGGAAGAGTTGGGAAGGCCGATGAGGAGGGAGTTTCCATAATCGAGCCTTGATGTGACGAATGTGTGGGTGAGGGTTTCGGCAGCCTGAGGGGTGAGGCAATGGCGGAGTCTGGCAATATTGCGGAGGTGGTGGTAGGCAGTGCCGGTCATGGTGCGGATGTGGGGGAGAAAGGACAGTTCAGGGTCAAACAAAACACCCAGGTTCCTGACTGGCTTTGTGAGGTTGAGTTGCAGCTGTGGAGGCTGATGCTGCCAGAGCCCGAGGTGTGGAGGCGCTGGTGTGAGCCAATCAGGAGGGCCTCGGTCTTGCTGACGTTCAGTTGGATACAATCCCATACAATCAAATTATTCTGTTCTGTTGGTTATTCGTGGATTTATTAAAACAAGAAGTCCTTCCCTCAACTGTTTGAACGAATAAACCACTCAAGATCAGAGCGCATACATACAAGATAACCGGTAGTAGATCTAACAGGGAGTCTGGCAGCAATCACTTCACATAGAGGGTGGTGATAATGTGGAAACCATTGCTGGAAGCTGCGGTTGAAGCAAAAAGCATCATGTATTTAAAAAAAACGTGAGGCTTCCTCCGGCCTATTTGCAAAGTCCAGGATAGGAACGTAGGAATATGGCAAACATGGAAAGCTGCTGCAGGAAGGGAGGGCAGGCTCCGGCCTACACTGACCTGTCACTGAGCATCCTGAAGGCAGAGGCAACTTCACAGTGGGCACAGCTATTTGCCAAAAACCCTCACGGGGACCTGGATTAAGCAGCTGGTGTTTAGCAAGCCTGGTAAGCAGCATTGTACTTATAATAATAACAACCCTTGCATTTGATATCGCGCTTTTCACGTCTGAGACATCTCAAAACGCTTCACAGAATATACTGTAAAGTGAGTTGACTGTATATTTATGGGCGAAACGTGGCAGCCAATTGCGCACAGAAGTGTCCCACAAACAATCGTGGATTGAGTGACCATACTTGGCCGTCAAGAACATCAAGGTGACTTGCACATCACAAACTATCCTGTAAAGGTCCTTCCACCACATTGAAGGCTGCCAGACAGAAGCTGATGAGGAAACTGAAGTTTGCGGCAACACCTGCTGTAAGGTGTTACCTGGAGTCTGAGTTTGTGAATATGCGTTTCTACATCCAACATCTGAGTTGTTCTTTGGTGCTTGAAAAATAAGTTTTGTGTGGGTGCCTAATTTGTTTTTTAAATTTAAACCTGCAAAACGTGTTTTTTCCCCTTATCTCTCTCTCTCACCCCCCTCCCCCCCAATCTTTTCTTGCATGCAGTTTTTAAAGCACTAAATTGGCCACTCTGCTGCTCACCCACAATTGCGGGAATGTATAATACAATATTTGGGGGCCTACTCTGTTTACCGAGCAGTAAATAGTAACCCAGTTGTTAGTTGATTGGGGGAATCGCTTTCCGGGGTAATAAATATGGTCACTCAATCCATGACTGCTTGTGGGACCAGCTGTCCCATTTCGCCCACAAAATACACTTTACAATATATCCTGTGAAGTGCTTTGAGACATTACAACAATGTGATAAGGTGCTATATCAAATGCAAGGATTATTATTATAACAACATGCATTTATATAGCGCTCCTCACACAGGGTAACGTCCCAGAGTCCTTGACAGTGGCTGAGCATGATGCCAAGCTGGGGGAGGGGACCGTAGGCACAGTCGAAGAGGCAGGTCTTCAGCCCTGACCTGAAGAAGGAAGGGGCAAGGCAATAGCAAGCCGAAATAGTCTGGTAATCCTGCCACTGTATAACCCATTGGCGAGACCATACTTACAGCATAGGACTGTGCTGTCTACCTCCAGTTAAACATGTTCTTGTATTCCCGTCTTATTGGTCTCTGGTCTGGGCACTGTTTGATTCTCTCCATTTGAGATCAACAACAACAACAACAAGATTACTTTTGTGTAACGGCTTTCACGTCGAGAGGACGTCCCAAGGTCAATCAAGGTCAGGAAATAACATTATGGGATGCAATGCACAGGGAGTTCAGGACAGGAAGGCGGAAGGCGAACTAGATGGACCTTGGTCTTTCTTCGTCCAGCATTTTATATGATAGTAGGTGAAAGCGCGGCTGCCAATGGTGGAACAACAGGGCACAAAGTACGGGCAGAAATGCACTGCCTGAAAGCAGGTTCAATAATAACTCTGAAAAGGGAATTGGATATTTACTTCAAATGAAATAATTTGCAGAGCTATGGGGTAAGAGCGGGGGAGTGGGACGAGTTGGTGGCTCTTTCAAAGAGCCGGCACAGGCGCGATGGGCCGAATGGCCTCCTTCTGTGCTGTCAGATTATAGAATTTGATAATTACAAAGAAAAATTATTTTAATTGCTGGCAAAACCCTGGCAGCGGCAGCAGCAGCAGCCCCCCACCCCCCCCCCTTCCCCCACCCCCCCCCCTTCCCCCACCCCCAGCCCAGGCCCCCCACCCCACAGCCCCCCCTTCCCCTTCCCCCAGCCCAGGCCCCCCAGCCCCCCCTTCCCCCACCCCCCCACTTCCCCCACCCTCCAGCTCCCCCCACCCCCCCCTTCCCCCACCCTCCAGCTCCCCCCACCCCCAGCCCAGGCCCCCCAGCCCAGGCCCCCAGCCCCCAGCCCCCCACCCCCAGCCCAGGCCCCCACCCCCCACCTGCAAAACAACACACCACAGCGCTGACCCTGAGGAGGACAACTTCAAAGCCAACGTCTGTTTTCCCCCTCTATTTGGGGGCGACCCAAGGCCGAGCCCAGGGGCCGAGGGGGGGGGGGGGGGGGAGAGGGCACCCGCGTGGCTTCTGCACTGAGCGGTCAATCCTCGGCCCTGAGAGCTGTGACTTAAAAGTTTTATCAACTTCTCTCGCCGCCCCGCGTTCTGTAACTCACGTGTTGAGAAGAGAGAGGGCGGCGGGAGGTCCGGGCGGGAGGTCCGGGCGGGAGGGCGGCGGCGGCGGCGGCTCGCGGAGCGGCGGCTGAGGCTGAGGGGGAGGCGGCGCTTCAACGAACGCCGCGGCTCGAGCGCCTCCACACCGAGGGCCCCACTGCGCACGCGCGCCACGCCAAGGGGCACTCTGGGTCGTGGAGTTCCTGTGAGCCACCCCGATGCGCCTCCTCCACGCAGCGCCAGACACGCATGCGCCTCCCTGCCCGCGCCCTGCATTCGGCGCAAACGCACTACAACAGAAAAGGAACTACGGGTCCCAGAAGGCCGCGCCCGGCCGAGCATGCGCATCAGGGCCCCTTTCTCTCTCAGCCTTGGGGATCAGCTGAGCCATGTGTGTGTGTGTGTGTGTGTGTCCTCTGGATGGACCTTAAAGACTTCCCTCCAACTCTTCCCTCCCTCCACAAACTGCAGATTATTCAGAACTCCGCAGCTCGTGTCCTCCCCCGCACCAGGCTCCGTGACCCCCCCCATCACCCCCACCCTCGCCCGGCCCCCCCCCCCACCCCCGCCCCCGCCCCCCAGAGAATAGAGTTCAAAATCCTTGTCCTCACCTTCAAAGCCCTCCATGGCCTTGTACCCTCCCCACCACTGTGACCTGCTGACCCCCGATCAACCTGTTAGCTCCTTCCGCTAAGTGGGCTCCGGGCTGCTCCGTGTCCCCCTGACCCCACCCGCTCCACCATCAGCGGTCAGGCCTTCAGCCTCTCTGCCCCCACACTCTGGAACTCCATCCCACGGTCCCTTGGCCTCGCTTCCTCCCTCGCCTCCTTCAAGGCCGGTCTCAAGACCCTTCTCTTCGACCGTGCCTTTGGTCTCCCTCGCACCTCTCTGCCTTCCCTCACCCCTACCCCACCCCTCCCCCCACGCTCGGGCCCCGACACCTGACTGTTCAGCGCTTTGGGACCTCCTCCCGACGTGAAAGGCGCTCTATAAATGTAATATTGTTGTTGTTGATAATCATGGTTTTAACTCCCTGCCTTGATGCTTCCTTCCTGCCCGTCTTCACATTGCACCTGAACACTTCTTTTCGACCATACGATCGGTCAGCCACATCCCTTCTCTTTCCAGTTCTGTGTCAAACAGTGCTGTTATTGATATCTCTGATACGCTCCCCGCATCAACGGCACTGTATAAATGCAAAATGTTGCTTGTGTGAACCACGGTGTTGGCAATTTACATTGAGAGCAGAATTAGGTAAGCAGGATGTGTCCCTCCTTGGAGAGAGAGCGCATTCCATTCCACAATTTATCTCTTGAATTTCAATGCGTCGGTGGGATGCATGGAATTTTCAGTTTGGTTTGGATATTCGGAAGCATGGTGATGGGTTTCTGCATGTGTCAGGCACCCTGCTGACCCCCCAAATTGGCTGATTTCCTATATCCTGCTCTCCTTCAAGGTCTATCTCAAGGCCTTATTCTTTGACTATACCTTCAATCATACTTCCCCACCCTCCCAGTTTCAACCCCTCGACTGTCCGGCATCTTGGGACTTCCTCCCGATGTGAAAAGCGTTCTATACCTGCAATTTTGTTCCATATTGAGGAATATTTGTTGTTTAGTTGGAGGTTAAAAATCGCATTGGCACTTCTCAAAAAGAGAAAGGAGTTTCTCCCAGTATCCTGGCAAACAAATAGGTTGACAGGAAACAGGCTTATTTCTAATATATAATTACATATATTCATTCAAATTATCTCACTAGAGTTGCTGAATTCACATCGGAAGCACTTGAGGTTTGGTGCCATATCGTATTGCATTGACTTAACATTCTTATTTTACTACTACAATCATTGCTATAATAATAATCCTTCAATTTGATATAACGCCTTCTTACATCGTTGAAATGTCTCAAAGTACTTCACAGAATATACTGTAGTGAATTTACTGTATTTTGTGGGCGAAACTGCGCAGGCAATATTGCGCACAGCAATTGCGCAAAGCCACAGAAAGCCACTGAAACCCTGGTCCATGCCTTTGTCACCTCTCGGCTGGACTATTCAACGCCCTCCTCGCCGGCCTCCCCTCCACTAGCATCCCTAAAATCCGGGTCATACAAAACTCTGCCGTCTGCATTCTTACCCGCACTAAACTCCGCTCACCCGCACCACCCCAGTCCTCGCCAGACTGCACTGGCTGCCTGTCCCAGAGAGGATCGATTTCAAGATCCTCACCCTGGTCTTCAAATCCCTCCAATCCTCTGCACCCCCCGACCTCTCTGACTTCCACGCTCCTCACAACAGTGCCCATTGCCTTCGTTCCTCCGGGTCTGGCCTCCTCCTTGTCTCCCGAGTCCTCTGCTCCATCCTTGGCGGCCGTGCCTTCAGCCACTGTGCCCCGAGGCTCTGGAACTCCCTTCCTCACTCCCTTCGTCTCGCTCCCTCTCTTCCTATTTTCAGGTCTCGGCTGAAGACCTTTCTTTTCGACCGCGCCTTTGGTCACCTTCCTCCCCCTCCCCCTGGCTCGGCCCCGGGATTGGTTACTGTGAAGCGCTCTGAGACGTGTCCGGCGTGGAGGGCGCTACATAAATCCAAGTTATTGTTGTTGTTGTTCCACAAAGAGTCATGGATTGAAGTGACCAAGATTTTGGGGGAGATGGATTATTACCCCTGGAAATTGATCTGCCAATCGACTAACAATTGGGTTCCTACGTAGTGCTAGGTGAGTAAGGAGTAAGGAAACTTGCTAAGGTTTTGCCATATGGGAATCAAAGCTGTATCTTGTTAGTGTTGTCCAGTTTTGTTAAGTAAAGTGAGTACAAAGTCACTCCCAGTTGAAACTCTTAGAAGAGCATCAGATAAATGGGAATTATCTGATTCTCTCCTAAGGGCATGGGAAAATCTAGCATTGGTTTATGGTGCACTGAGCACTATCATCATAAGCCTAGGGATACTGCAGTACAAAAGGTTCATTGGAGCATCAGCCTAGAACATAAGGTTGAAGATGCTGATGTTGAACTTAAACCGACAACCTTCTGGCCCGGAGGCGAGAGTGCTATCTGCCTATTGAGCCAGGCTGATACAAATCAGAATTTACTTGGCATATTTATGTGTGGATTTTGAAACCTTACCGCGACGGGCATTTATTTTAAAATAAAAATTAATGTTAGAACTGCAAAAAATAAACGCTGTGCAGTTAATATCAATCTGAGTGCAACTGAAAGTTCAAACCTAATATAGCCTTAAATGTCAGTGAGAGAGTTAACGTTGAAAATTGCAGGATGTATCTGCGTACACTACTGGTAACCCATGATTTTGAGATTTTAAAAAAATTAAATGACTGTTTGTGGGGCACTGCTGTGCGCAATTGGCTGCCTTGTTTCACTGCCAAAATAATAATCCTTGCATCTGAAATACAAAATACAGTCAACTGACTTTAAAATATATTCTGTGAAGCTCTTTGAGACGTCTTAATGACACGATAAAGCGCGATGTCAAATGCAAGGATTATTATTGCTAAAATAATGAATTTGAAAACTATTTATTACGAGACAAGGAACGTGTATGCTTTAATGCGTTCCCAAACTGATGTGCGTGAAATTTATAGCTCAGCATCTGTGAGTTCTTAGAACGCTACGTAAACACAATTTAGGTCAAATTGCATTGAAAAAAAAATCACGAACAGGTCTTTCAACAGTGTGTCTCCTCCTCAGCTTCTCTCCAACACACTGATATCTAAGGTGCTCCACATAAATTTGCACTGCATTCAGTGTACGGAGCAGTGTGTCGGGGTGGAAGATCATCCAGCCTTAGCATTTCCTTTTATATTTTCCCAGAGGCTTTCAGCATGTTCCATTCTGCCTCAGAGGGTCCGCCATGCATATTGCGCCACCTCACACACCGCGATTTTCCACGAGGAACCAAACAACAGAAGCGTCACGGCCGACGTAAAGAAAGCGAGTCCCCGGGATGTTTTAAAAATCACGTCCGACTCGTGCTCCGCAGGTCCGCTGGTGCTGTTTGTCAGCAAAACATAACTGGATCTCACCTTTTATGCAGCTCAAGTGGACCTGGACCGTTCTATGTGAAGCTGTGCTGCACTGGTGGAATATAAATCAGCTGCAGATTACACATACAGCAGTTGTAAGAGGAAGGTAGCTCGGCTTCAGAGAAAGGAATAATCGCACAAACCAGTTCATGATCTGGGATATTCTTCGCCGCGAATTCTTCGCACCCTGTGTGTACTGAACCATGGGGACTGCCAGTAAGCCCACAAAAGGGTTTGCCATGCTCCTGTGGGTTGTTTATCTGTTGCTGCTGATTGAAGCGAGGAAACCGTCCAAACAGATGAAGTGTCCCGTGGGCTGCACTTGTTCCAAAGATAACGCTCTTTGTGAAAACAGAAAATCCATTCCTCACAATTTTCCTCCCGGCGTGGTCTCCTTGTAAGTACCAGATCTGTAACATCGCATGATTTTGCTGCAATCTGACATTGTTGGAAGCAGAGACGCTCAGATCAGCATGTAAGGATGGAGAGCTGCTTTATATAACACCACTCGTAATTGCAAGGGTATCACCTATGTTATTGCTGCCTCTTCACACCCGATATCTAAAAATAGACCGTTTTAATTTGCATATTGATTTCCCAAATGTCAGTTTGCATTGATGGGCAGCACAGCATAGATCCGGTCGAGTGACAATTCCTAAGTTTTACCAAATAAGGATCTGCGATTTGATGAATCAAAAGGATGTTGAAATCCCTAGTGTGTTCGGAGGCTCCATTTTAATTAACACATTTTGTTTACAGATCATTCGTGAAGTCGGGTTTCAGCGAGATCCCAGAAGGCAGTTTCTTACACATGCCATCCCTGCAGCTCCTGTAAGGTTAAAATCTGCTTTTATTCCATCGTACAATGAAGACTCAGTTTATTTTTTTCCTTCATATTTCATTGCGTGGAATCGTTTGCTGTACTCAATCCAGAGCATTCTCCTCAGGGGTAGGATGTTTTACATTGCAGCAATTGGTTGCCTAGGAATTATTTATCACTAGAGCAACAACAGAGAAATTAATTCTGTACTAGGTTTTATCACAGACAAAAACACTGTTTCAAGTTATACTGCAGCTAAATATTGCCTATTAGAGAAAGGATAAATATTGATGATCAGCTTTCACCCACAAAATGTACAGTCAATTCACTTTACAGTATATTCTGTGAAGTGCTTTGAGACATCTTGAAGTCGTGATAATAGATAACAAATTACATTTGTATAGCGCCTTTCATGTCAGGAGGACATCGCAAGGCGCTGCTGATAAGGCACTGTATCAAATGCAAGTATTATTATTATAGTAGAGACTACGTACAGAATGTTGATTTACAAACATCTGTATCCTAATAATAATAATCCTTGGATTTCAATATAGTGCTGTATCACATCATTGAGACGTCTCAAAGCGCTTCACAGAATATACTATAAAGTGAATTGACTGTATATTTTGTGGGTGAAAAGCGGCAGCCAATTGCACACAGCAGTGTCCCACAAACAGTCGTGGATTGAGTGACCAAATTCTTATCATTTTTTATTATTACTAATTTTGGTGGCAAAAATCTCAAAGCTGTTGAGGCATTGCTACCTTGTGTAAGGAGCATCCATTTGTTCTCGAGAAATTACTTGTTTTTTTTTAGCTAGGAGGAAGCTATTGATGTGAGGACCAGTTTTATTGAGTCGCTTGCTTGCAAAATACATAGTTACTACAACAAGCATTAACCTTGCAAATTTACAACATTAAATTAAGAGTGAAATAGTCTGAAAGGTCTGTGATACTGCACCCAAATTTTATAAGGGAATTATATTCCTTTAGTGTCCGTGAGTACTGCAGTTTCAACACTGCACCACTATAAAGGGACGAGAATACAATTTATTTTTTACTTTGGTCCAAGGATGCTATTTTGCAGTGGGCAGATAATTGAGAAACAAACATCTGACTGAAAGAGCAGTTGTTATTGCGTTTAAAAAGCTTCAAGTGCTAGAAAAAAACCAAATGAAGTGCAAGTGTATCAGAAATCAACATGCTACAATTTTTTTTAATGGAACATTTTCTCCCCTCCTCCTCTCCTGATGGCGCTTGTCTTGATTTCAAGATCTTCACACTCACCTTCAAATCCCTTCGCGCCCTGGCACCTCCCTACCTCTCCAACTGCTTACTCCCCAACCCACTATCCGCCAATCGAATGGCTCCAGCCTCCTGCTTGTCCCTCGTCCCCTCCGCTCCACTATCGGTGGCCGCACTTTCAGCCACTACGCCCCGAAACTCTGAAACACTCTTCCTCTATCCCTCCGCCTCGCCCCTTCCTTCCCCATCTTCAGGTTGTGGCTGAAGACCTGCCTCTTTGCCCTTGCCTATGGTCACCTCCCCCCACTCCCCTGGCTCGGTGCTGTGCTCCGCCACTGTCAAGCGCTCTGGAACGCTACCCTGTGTGAGGGCTGCTTTATAACTGCAAGTTGTTATTGTTGTCTTCACCTGGAGTATGGTTCCGTGGTCACTTGCCACCCTCAGGTTCCTCCTTCACCCAAGTGGCCATCCTTCATTTGCAGGGCCAGGTGTTGATTACGTGTTGGCCGGACAGGGCCATCATCGAGGTCCCGTCTGCCTGTTCAGGTGGACGATAAAGATCTCGCGGCACTTTTTTGAAAAGAGAAGGGAGTTTCTCTCTCTCGGGGTCCTGGCCAACAATCCCCTAAATAAAACTGGTCACTCATTTCATGGCTGTTTATGGGACATTGCTGTGCGCAGTTTTGCTGCTGCTTTTGTCTACAAATACAGAATCACTACATTTTACGATAAATCCTATGAAGTACCTTGAGACGTCCTTCCTGATGTGATACGACGCTATATCAAATGCAAGGATTATTATTAATATTATCACAGATGAGCCCTTGTGTGCTGTTCCACCGTGTACTTTCCAAATGGGGAGGAGGGGGGGGGTGGGTCACCGAATCAGTAACGGAAACCCTGGGTCCTCCTCCCCCCTCAGAGGCACTCAGACCAAGTATTGCACCCCAAGTGCTGCCCCAGGCTGGAGAAGCTCACTCAGCACAGACTGGGAATCATTTATGTCCACGACTGTTTGTAGGACACTGCTGTGCGCAATTGGCTGCCGGGTTTTGCCCACAAAATACACAGTCAATCCACTTTACAGTATATTCTGTGAAGCATTTTTCCTCCCATTTGCATCTCAATAAGATGCTATATCGAATGGGAGGCTTATTAATGTTATCATTCTCCTTATCTCTCAGGGGTCACAACTATACGTAGTCCTTAGCTCTGCCTTCAATGGGATGTGACCCAACTCATCATTCTTCAAAAATTCACAACAACAAAGAGGCAGAATGACCGCCCACTGCTCCATTCCTTTCCTCTGCTCACACACTGTTACACAAATTACCCAATCTGCAGCTCACAGAACACTGGTAGGAAGTGAAAACACCATGGAACGGAGGAGGAATTAAAGATACAGTACAGCCAATTGTGCTGTGTATCTGCCCTGGGCAGCAGTGCAGAGGATGGATGATCCCCAGGGTTGGAGGAATTAGCGATGAGCAATAGTAGACAAGCTAGAGAACAAGTCTCGGATGTGTTCACAATTTTAAAACTCAGAAGAATACATTAGGATGCACCAAGGCAGAACAGCAGAACAAGATGATATAGATTTAAGAATTGATATAGAATTGATCAGAATAGACGTAGATTTAGAATTGGCTACTTGCTGTTTCGCCCACAAAATACACAGTCAATCTACTTTACAGAAAATCCTGTGAAGGGCTTTGAAACGTCTCAACGACTTGATAAGGCGCTATATCAAATGCAAGGATTATTATATAGAATGATATGGCATGGAAACAGGCCATGCCTGTGTTTACATTCCACACAAGCCCCCACCCCACCTATTCCCCTCATTTATACCCCTCTTTTCCTTTCTTCCTCATGTATGTAGCACCTTTTCTCTTAAATACATTGATTTTTTTTCAATCAACGGTTCCATCAGTGAGTTCCTCATTTTCACCATCCGTTACGTGAAGTTCCTCCTAAACTCCCTTTGAGATCTGCTACTAGCTAGCTTATATTTATGGCCTCTCCTTTAGCACTTACCATCTTAAATCTTTGTCTAAGCTCCCTGCAGTAAGTTACGATCACCCCCATCCTCGCCTGGCTTCACTGGCTCCCCATCCCCCAGAGGATCGAGTGCAATATTCTTGTCCTCATCTTTAGAGCCCTCCACGGTCTTGCTCTGCCCTACTTCTGTGACCTCCTAAAACCTACCAACTTGTTCGTTCCCTCCACTCCGGGGTTACTAGCCTGCTCCACATCCCTGCCCAGCCCGCCGCACGATTAAAGGTCAGGCCTTTAGCCTTTCTGCATCCACCCTCTGGAACTCCATCCCGGAGTCCCTTCACCATGGCCCCTCCCTTGCCTCCTTCAAGGCCCATCTCAACTCTTCGACCAAGACTTGTCACCTTCTCACCACCCTTCCCATCCTTGATCACCACTCCTCTTGACTCGCAGCCCGCAGCTCGGATGCAAACACTTGACTGCCCAGCTCCTTGGGACGTTGTTTCGATATGAAATAAATGCAATTTGTTGTTGTTGTTTTAGTCTATTGAACAAGACTCAACCTGCTTTTCTTGAACCCATGCCAACTCTTGATTGACGTCTGTGAAGTAACCAAATACTTCCTTCGTTTGTCTCAAAATAGCCCTCACAACCTTGACACTGTGCTCCCCTGTTCTGCTTCCTTGGCATATAGCAAAATATTGTTCTGTGCTTACATTCTCTATCCCATTTAACATTATTTTTTGAATTACTGTGAGGTCGGATTTTGTACGACTAACACATAACAGTCAACAAGTACTTTGTTTTCCGCGCTTGTTTCAACAGAGTTCACTGTGTTGTATTGTGTCTGCACTACTTTGTCACTGCAGCTGGTAAGGGTACATGCAGTGACGGGTCAAAACACTGCGCATGTGTACTTCAATGCAGCCGGTAAATGCTCATGCGGTGATGGGTCAAGACTTTGTTTCCCACGATTCAATGGAGCCAGTAAATGAGGTAATGACGTTACAAGTTAGGAGATGATTTGCATAGCATTTAGGATGCATTTGGGACCCAAGAAACTGTTACGATTTAGCTGTTTATCCAGTTTATAAAGTACGACTAGTGCAAATAAATCTAAGTGGTTTTTGGTAGGAAACTGAATGGAACTCAGTACGACTTTGGCGATTATACGATTTATAAAGATAAGACTTTTGCGAGTTTTACTGTACGGTATTTTGTACCCTAATCAACCATTGTTCTTCTGATTGTTACGCCGAACAGCTTGTTCACTTCTAACTCGTTTGACACCGTTGGAGATAATGCTTTCCTTGGGCTTCCTCAACTTGAATACCTGTGAGTACAACAACAACTTGCATTTACATAGCACCCCTCACACAGGGCAACATCCCAGAGTGCTTGACAGTGCCAGAACACAATGCCAAACTGGGGGGAGGGGGGAGCGGGGGAGGTGACCTTAGGTCGAAAAGAAAGTCTTCAGGTGTGACCTAAAGATGGAAAAGCAGAGGGCAAGACGGAGGGATGGAGGAAGAGTGTTCCAGAGTTTCGGGGCATGTTGACTGAAAGCACGGCCGCCGATTGTGGAACGGAGGGACAAGCAGGAGGCCAGAGCCAGTAAAGCGTAGGCAGCAGGTAATGGGTTGGGAAGTAAGCAGGTTGCAGAGATAGGGAGGTTCCAGGGCACAAAGGGATATAAAGACAAGTGAGAGGATCTTGAAATCAATCCATTTGGTGACAGGAAGCCAGTAGAGCCTGGCTAGAACTGGTGTGATGGGGGTACGGAGTTTAATGCAGGTGAGTATGCGGGTGGCAGAGTTTTGGATGAGGTGAAAGGAATCCATTCACTTTAACGCTTTAACACTGTAAAACACTGCATTGTTAAACAGCAACTGGTAACAGAAGGCTGAACTTCATCTTTCCCCAGGTTTGTGGAAAACAATAAAATCCAGTCCATCTCGAGGCTTGCTTTTCGAGGACTTAAGTCTCTAATTCACTTGTAAGTATACTACAGGGCATTTAACGTATATCACAGTTAATTGTAAGTGGTTGTAAGTACTTGTTTCTGGAGTCCTGTAGTGTAGTGGTTAGAGCACTCGCCTTGCAAGTGAAAGGACCCAGGATTGATTCCCAGGCGGGGAAACCTTAGGGAAGTTTCCTTACACCACACGTCTCTGTTTACCTAGAGGTAAGTAGGAACCTGTTTGTTAGTCGATTGACGGATTGCTTTTACTGTGTATTCTGTGAAATACTTTGAGATACCTCGAAGACGTGATAAGGCACTATATCAAATACAAGGATTATAAGTAAAGGAGGTAAACACATGCAGAAGTAATGACAATTATATGTTATCTTCTGTTTCTGTTGTAGCGAAATCAGTCCACAATGTAAAATCTTGAAACAATACCTGTTAAACTGTAATAGTTATTGTGATGTTTTGGTTACACATTGCTAATGATGTGCTGGCTCAGTGGTACCACTCTTGGCTCTGAGTCAGAAGGTTGTGGGTTCTGACTCAGAGGCGAGAATGCTACCACTGCGAAAGGTTGACACACACCATTAACAAACCCCACTTTGGTACTTGGACTGGGAATCAAATAGTCTAAGCTGACACTCCAGTCCAATGCTGGGAAGAGCGCTGCATTGTTGGAGGTACCGTCCTTCGGATGAGACGTTAAACTGATGCCCCGTTTGCCTGTTTAGGTGGATGTTATAGGTCCCAAAGCACTATTCACAAAGAGAAGGGAGTTTCTCTCTCCAGATGTCCTATAAAATATACAGTTACCGCATTTCACAGTAATCCTGTGAAGCTCTTATGTGCTCATCTCTCATTCGCCACGTCTGAAAGCCAACATGCTTCACTACTTTCAGATGAATAGTTTATGAGCTACTGCAGCTCTTACTCCAGCTCAAGTAGACCCTGCAAAAACTGGATAAAATTCCATCAATAAATTATGGAATAATAGAAGCTTTCAGAGAAGTATACAATCCACACTTTATGGATGGTAACTCCGCCCTTCGGATGAGACATTAAACTGAGGTCACGTCTGCCTGTTCAGGTGGATGTTAAAGATCCCATGGCATTATTCGAAAAGAGAAGGAATTTTCTCTCTCCCTGTGTACTAGCCAACAATCCCTCAAATAAAATTGGCCACTCACTCTATGACTGTTTTGTGGGACATTGTGCTGTTCATGATTGTGCTGCCGCGTTTGCCTACAAAATACATTCCATTTCACAGTAAATCGAGGAGTCCTGGAGCTCAGTGGTTAGAGCACTCGCTTTGCAAGCGAGAGACCTGAGTTCAATTCCAGGCAGAGGGCGAAACCTTGGGCAAGTTTCCTTACTCCACACACCTAATAATAATCCCTCCAAAAAAAAAAAAAACAATAATAAATTGGTCACTTTCAATCCATGAATGTTTGTGGGATATTGCTGTGCGCAATTGGCTGCCGCGTTCGCCCACAAATATACAGTCAATTCACTTTACAGTCTATTCTGTGAAGCGCTTTGGGACGTCCTCCCGACGTGAAAAGCGCTATATCAAATGCAAGGATTATTATTATTATTAAATCCTGTGGAGTGCTTTGAGACGTCCTTCCGATGTGATAAGGCACCATACCAAATGCAAGAATCATTATCATTATTATTAGGAATCCTGGGTACAGTTCTATTCATTTTGTGACATTACTGACAATGATGGGAAATACAAATTAGCTTCAGTGTTCCTGCGAAATGTACTACTATCAAGCGGTACTGGATTTCAGCTCATTGCCTGGTAGTTCACTCAGCCAGGCCTGGCTTATTGGCAGGACTTGGAAGGGCAGACCAGTCACTAGGAGCAGGAAATCCTCCCACTCAGCTCCTGTTAACCCTGCAGCCAAAGCCCTGGTTGGGTGGTCCTAGCTGGCCAAGCAGCCGGAAAGCTTGCCAGACAGTGCTCTCAATGGCAAACTGTTGTTTTAACTGGTTAGATTCTAGCAGTTACCCCAGTGCGTACTCTGGCGATCCCAAGTCTTGGCTCTTGCCAACCTACGCCTCATACTTTCCGGAATTAGGTACACAGGGTGCATCCGCTTCCTCCGCTCAGCGGGCTTTGGCCTGCTCTGTCCTCCATCTGGCCCACCCTACCATCAGCAGTCGGGTCTTCCGTCTCTCTGTCCCCACCATTTGGAACCTCTTCTCACATTCCCTTCCCCAAACCTTGCCTCCCTCAAAGCAAGTCTCAAAACCCTCCTCTTCAGCCACACTCCTACCCCTAACCTCCCTGCCCGCCACCCCTCCTGATCCTAATCCCCTGCTTGGGTCCAAATCCCTGATTGCTCAGCGCCTTAGTATACCCTCCTGACGTGAAAGGCGCTATACACATGTAATTTGTTGTTGTGTCTCTCCAGGGAGAGAGAGCGCATTCCATTCCAACAATCTATCTCTGGGATTTTCATGTGTAGGTGGGAGGCAGGGAATTCTCAGTTTGGATACACTTAAGCACGGTGGTGGGTTTCCGTGAGTGTCACACGTTCCGTGCTCTCCTGGGTTTGTACTATGATGTTCCAAGACTGTGACATGACTGACATAGGAATATAATCAAGTTATTCCTACACAAAAATGTCCCTAACAATCCAGAAGCTGTTGCGTTTTTCCATTAACCTGAATACGACATGAATTAATTTCATGTAATGTCATTCAGAACATAAAATGACACAAGGTTCAGCACAAGCAGAGGGTGTTGGCCCATTGTTTTATTCTCATCCCATTTCCATGTTCTTTCCCCGCAACAAAGTGATAAGGCGCTATATCAAGTGCAATATTTAATAAAAAAAATTTCCAGGACATATAAAATTGATGTCCTTCCCCCAAAAATCTGTTACCAGTCTGGCCAGAAGGCCTGTAATGATCTTTTCCAGTTTCTGTGGAATTGACAAAGTGCTTGATGTATAAAACAGCAGTTCATATGGTCCCTTGAGCTCCACTGCCCCATTGGTGGCCGAGCTATCAGCCACTATGCCTTGTAAAATTTTACGAGTGGTCGGTAAACACGCAGGCGACGGACACGATTTTAATATTTTATTAACACAACTTTAGTACAGTAAGTCAACCTGAGTTTCAAACGTAAATACAGGTATAACATTAATAAGATAGTCACCTGGGTATTCTATGGACCAAGGAGTACGTTAGTAGCACGCACATGTTAGTATTGTCATTATACTTTGTTAGGATAAATAACTGAATAAAGGTTATTCGATAACTAATATAATTTGTGACACAACAGCAGATAATCAGTAATTCATGATGCAACAGTAGATAATTAACGGCTTAAATGACCCACTAAGAGTCCCCCAATGAAAACATACTAGCCATTAAACAGCAGCACCGGTGACTCTCTTCCTTTCTCGTTCTCCTCCAAAAGGTGGATTCCTGGTTTGGGCAGCTGGCGATCCTCACAACATGGGCTGTGTGCCTCTCCCCACCTGGTGTTGACTGATACCAGTTACCGGATGATCTGGTCTGCCTGCTCCTTTCTTCTCTCTCTGTCGAAGGACTGACTTGCTGGATGATCAAGAAGTTTGTTTTTTCACTGACAGTCTGCCGTTCCCAATCTTGAGTTCCTGTGGTTTCAGTCGGAGAGGTCAGCCCCTCGCAGGGTGACCATAGAGCTCCTCCTCTGTTCTCTCCCCGATCCGAGATAACTTCACTCAGATTTTGATCCTATTCTTATACTCCCTAGCAGCATCTGGACAATAACCAGATCTTTCCTGGTCATTGCCCTGCATCCCCTAACTCTTGACCCTTGCTCTTGTGATTTAATTAATCTTCAGGAATGCTCTTAACTCAGCATTCCTGGCTCTTCCGTTTTGACCTTCACTCTCCTCCTTCACTTAGCAGTTTTCTAAAGGTGTTGACTCTTACATCCACATCACCTTTGGACCATTACCTTCCTTCAGATCTGCTCATCTTATCCTGCACATGGTCTCATTGTATCGATACCCCTCAGTGATGGGTTCTCACACATTCCTTTGCCCCTCGTGACTGCTGACTCCTAATCTCCTCGTCCCAATCTCCTTGTCCTGGCCTTGAAACTGTTTTCTGACATGATTCTTTGTTCTGGAAAATGTCACTTTGTCTAACTTCTTTGATAGCTCTAAACCAGTTTGTACCAGCCTGCTGACCGCTAGGTTCCATTTTACTGCTGACTTCAGGGGTTTTATAGGTCATTCAATTGGCCATTTTCCTTATTAAACGACAGCGAGTACATTAACCATAATCATATGAATCAATGCTTGTAGTCATGATCATACATAATGACACGATCATTCATAACTAATCATTATTTACAGCCTCAAAGCTTTAGAACTCTGTCCCCCAATCCCTGCACTTTGCCCCCTCCTTCCCCTCTTTTAGATCATGAATGAAAATCTTCTTCTTCGACCGTGTTTATGGCCACCTCCTCCCTTGCCCCGGTTCGGTGTCAGGCTCCACCATTGCTCAGAGGATACAGTTCAAGATCCTAGTCCTCACCTTCAAAGCCCTCCATTGCCTTACATCTCCCTACCTCTGTGACCTCCTAACCCCCTACCAGTCTGTCCGCTCCCTCCGATCAGCGGGCTGCGGTCTGCTTCACATTCTCAGCCTTGCCCGCCCCACAATTGGCAGGCGGGCCTTCAGTCTCCCTGCCCAAAACCTGTGGAACTCCATCCCGCAGACCCTTCGCATTGCCCCCTCCCTTGCCTCTTTCAAGACCCTCCTCTTCGACCGTACCTTTGGTCACCCTCCTACCCTACGCCGCCACATATCCCAGGCCATTTCAAGTCCTAACCTCTCCAGCCTCTCCTCACAGCTCTTTCCTCTCATCATCAACAAAACAATAATAAATTGGTCATTTTTCAATCCACGGCTGTTTGTGGGACGCTGCTGTGCGCAATTGGCTGCCGCATTTCGCCCACAAATATAATGTCAATTCCCTTTATAGTCTATTCTGTGAAGCGCTTTGAGACGTCGAGAAGACGTGAAAAGCGCTATATCAATTGCAAGGATTATTATTATTATTACCCCTACCCTCCCCGCCCTCCGTCCCTCCCGATCCCAACCACCAGCTCAGGTGCGGATCCCTGACTGTACAGCCCCTTGAGACGTCCTCCTGACGTGAAAGGCGCTATGCAAATGTAATTTGTTGTTGTTGTTAAGTGCTCCGAGATGCTTGGAAAAAGCATCTCGGTAAATGCACTGAGTCTCTGTCCCTCACGGAGGCAGGAGAGAATGACTCGGTCCATGTATACAGTATCATAATCATTTGAAGATGTTCAGCCTTACAGACCAATAATAATAATAATCCTTGTATCGTAAAGTGGATTGACTGTGTATTTTGCGGGCAAATTCTGGCAGCCAACTGGCACACTGCGCACACTGAATCCTACTGGATTGAGTGTTTTTTTTTGGGGGGGGTGGATTATTACCCCAGGAAGGCAATCCACTAACAACAACAACTGGATTCCTACTTACTGAGAGGTAAACCGAGGCCTGTGGAGTAAGAAAACTTGCCCAAGGATTCCCTCGCTTGTGAGACGAGTGAGCTTGCCACTCTGCTACAGGATTCCACGACCTGTCTTCTTACTCACGAGCTTTCCCTACATCTCCGACCTGAGTATTCCCCATGCCACCACTTGCCATCTCCACTCGGCTGACTCTGGCCTCCTGCACATCCCTCTTCTTCTCCATTCCACCATCGGCAGCCGTGCTTTCAGCTACTACGCCCTGACGCTCTGGAATACTCTCTTCCAATTGCTCCACCTTGTCTTCTCCTTCCTCATGTTCAGATCCCGCCTTTTCGACCGTGCCTACGGTCACCTCGCCCTGGCTCAGCATCCGGCTCTGCCATTGTTAAGCGCTCTGAGACCCTACCGCGTAAACTGCGCTAAATAAATGCAAGTTGTTGTTGTTCCTCAGTTTGCCGGCTGATTTATAATAATAATAATTCTTGTATTTGATATTGCGCTTTATCTTGTCATCAAGATATCTCAAGTGCTTCACAGAATGTACTGTAAAGTGAATTGACTATATTTTGCGAGCGAAATGTGATAGCCAATTATGCACAGCGGAGTGCCACAAACATGGATTGAGTGATCAAATTATTATTATTTTTAAAAAGATTATCATTTGCGATCTGCCAATCGACTAACAACCAGGTTCCTGCTTACTGCTGGGTAAACAGACATGTGGAGTAAGGAAACTTGCCTAAGGTTTCGTCCTGCCCGGGAATCGAGCCTGAATCCTTTCACTTGTGAGGCGAGTACTCTAAGCAATAAGCTATTAGTGAAGCCTCTAATCCAATCAAAGGATTTAGATAATATTACAATCCCTAAATGCAAAGAACAAGCAAGCAATTTATGTTTGGTCACTGGGTTTAGAGATTAGATTAATGCCTTGAGTTCACCAGGAATATCTGTTATGCATAAATAATAACACTTGCATTTCGTAAGTGCTTTCTTGTGTTGAAATGTCTCAAAGCACTTCACTTCAGTGGGTTTCGTTATAAGTGTGGAGATTGCTGCCAAGATGGCAGTTGAGGCCACTGATCTCGCTTTTATTTCTCTAGAAACTGTGAGGTGTCAGGACTATGTGTCAGCCTGGCGCTGCGGTAGTACTCTCGCCTCTTGAGTCAGAAGGTTGTGGGTTCAACCCCCACGTCAGGACTTGGAATCACAGTCTAAGATGACAATCCAATGCAGCAATGGGGATATGTTGTATTGTCGGAAATGCCATCCTTCGGATGAAATATTAAACTGAGGTCCCATCTGCCTGTTCAGGTGGATGTTAAAGATCCAATTCAAAAAGAAAAGGGAGTTTCTCTCTCCTGGTGTCCTGCCCAATAAATCCCCCAATGGCTCACTACATGACTGTTTTTGGACATTGCTGTGTGCGACTGGCTGCCGCGTTTCGCCGAAAAAAAACCCACACAGTCTTGTTGCTGTGACCATTAGGAGGCCCACTTGGGCAATCCACCATCATGAGGAATGGTCAGAGCCTTACTCAGTATCCTCCCATCCCAAGTAAAATCAGACACTCAATGGCAGAAGGAAAGCAACTTGTCACCCATCTCTCTGGTGGTATGTTAGTTTTCAACTACAATTGGTCATCTAAATGTTGTATTTCTGCCGGCTCAAAGTGGGTTGTACGTTTCTATTAATGTAATAAGTGCGAGACACTTTAAACTTTACTGTAAACTTCTCTTTGACCGTGCCTTCAACTCCCCTCTCGACTCTCTACCCCCTCCTCGCTCCCTTCCTTCCCTCCCCTCACCCTGACCATTTCCCCTCCTGCTTGGGTCCCGACCCAACTGTCCAGCGCCTTGGGACGTCCTCCTGACGTGAAAGGCGCTCTATAAATGAAATCTTGTTGTTGTTGTTGTTGTGAAGCGCTTTGAGATGTCTCGAAGATGTGATAAGGCGCTATATCAAATGCAAGAATTATTACTGTTATTCTAATGAAGTCGGTGGTGAACAAAGACTTAGCATCTGCCTGTCTGCTTCCTGCTCACCTCAGACCCACCCAATCCCTCCCCCCACCATACCACAGTGGGGATCACTAATTTCTATAATAATGGAATCCTGTAGCTTCGTGATTAGAGCACTCGCCTCGCAAGCGAGAGGACCTGAGTTCGATTCCAGGACAGGACGAAACACACGTTAGGCAAGTTTCCTTAGTCCACACGCCTCTGTTTACCAAGCAGTAAGTAGGAATTCGGTTGTTAGTCAATTAGCGGATCACTTTTCTGGGGGAAATAATCCTTTTTAAAAAAAAGAATTGCTAACTCAATCCACAAATGTTTGTGGGACACTGCTGTGCACAATTAAAATATACATTCAATTCACTTCTGTGAAGCGCTTTGAGATGTCTCGAAGGCACAATATCAAATGCAAGGATTATTATTATAATAATGTAAGAAAGGAAAAGGGTCGGTGCAGAACCTTGTGTACTACAGTAATTCTGGAGTGTGACCGTGTCGATGAATGACCTAAATACAACAACAAATTGCATTTATATAGTGCCCCTCACACAGGGTAGTGTCTCGGAGCACTTAACCGAGGCATAGCATGACGCCAAGACGGAGGGAGGGAGGAGATATCCGTAGGCATGGTCGAAGAGGCGTGAAGTTTATCTGACACGAATGGTCAGTAGTAGGGAATGGGCGTTTGGAAAATCAGAACGGCTGTCGTCGGGATTTAAACATTCGTTTGAACAAAATGTGTATGTGGTCAGCTGTGGCCAGTTATTGCCGGACAGTATCAAGAACAGGGGATCCCACAATCATGTATTTCTCACCGCTTGATTCGAACAGGTAGTGTGGCTGCTGCTTATCAGGCAGTAGGCAACATAGGTTCCAGCCTTGTTGCGTATAAAGAATTACCAACTAACAGAATTTCACCACCTTTTGTTTTTTTTAACAGAAGCCTGGCAAACAACAACCTTCAGACAATCCCAAAGGATGTATTCAAAGGCCTGGATGCTTTGACCACTGTGTAAGACCCTCCATGATTTATGATGACTCGCTTGCTGATCTGTTTCTGCTCTGGCTGCTGTGCTGTGTTTAAAATAAGACGGCGGGGTTTAAAGAGCACTTGCACCTTCATTGCCTCCGACTTAAACTGCGTTTTCTCTGCAGAACCATGTCTATGTCATGCAGCCTCGCAAGGCTGACGAGTTAAATTTTGCACACTGAAATAGAGTGTTTCATGTCTGGCAATGGAGTGTCAAAATCGAGCCAGCCCTCTGTGCCGGTCTCTAGTCCGGTTCCTGAGTCAGGTGGGTCCGCATTTTTCCAGTGCACTGCTGATGGCAGCACAGCCCGGCCTGGCTCATCGGCAGGACCTGGAAGGGCCGACCAGTCACTGGGAATCCTCCCACTCAGCTCCTGTTAAACCTGCAGCCAAAGCCCTAACAGGTAGGGTGGTCCTAGCTGGACAAGTAGCGGGAAAGCTTGCCAATCAATGGCAAGCTGTGGGGTTTTAGCTGGTTAGACTCCAGCAGTAGCTCAATCCACACTTTGGGATCCCCGCGCCATGGCCTTGCCAACCTGTGCCTAATTCTTTCTGGAATTAGGTAAGCAGGATGCGTCTCTTCAGGGAGCATTCCATTCCAACAATCTCTCTCTGAAATTTCCATGTGTAGGTATGGAAATCTCAGTCTGGTTTGGAGACTCTTAAGCGCGGTGATGGGTTTCCGCATGTGTCAGACACCCGGCTGACCAAAACATTTTTTTAATTTAGACCCAATGAATAAAACATCAATTTTATCAAACACGATACGGTTAAGAATCATTAATAGCTTATGAAAGGCTAGAAAGATCACAACAGATGTAGGGATGAAAATAGTTATTTCCCCTCACCCCACCCCATTTGATTTCCTTCCAGAAAGGATGTTAAAAGATTTTTTTGCTAATAAAGTTCCACTGCAGCTTTTGAGTTTGAAGCAATCAAGTCTGAAGAGTAGTTTTTTTCAGGAAACCAAGTCAAGAATGTTGCTACTGAGTCAAATGGCAAACGCACCTTTGCTCACAAGAGCTACAGTAACACTCACATGAGTTGAATCGGTCGGGATCATAACATTTAATATGATTTCCGCGAAGTCCGAGTTGCAGGCTAACTGTAGAAATCGTAGAAAATCCCAACTAATCAACAATCTACACTGCGCATGCAATAATTCACTGCAGCCGGTAAGTGCACATGCGGGGGAGGGTTAACACAAAGCTTCCCACGATTCAATGTGTCTTGACCCCTCACCACATACGCACTTAGCGCCAAGTGTTGGAATCACATTGAATCGCGGGAAATGAAGTTCTCCTGCACATACATCGAAAGATGAAGACTACGCTTCCTGTGATTCAATGCCTCTGGTAAGTGTGGGAGTAATAGAGGGAAGTAATGGTCTTAGGAAACGAGTACTACAAGTTGTGTAAAGAAATCTGAGTGGTTTGGTGGGAAACTGAATGGGACTCGGGTGAATGTACAACTTAGGTGCTTATGTGATTTATAAAGCAAAGACCAGAGATGAGGGACTTCAGTTATGTGGAGAGACTAGAGTCTGGGATTGTTCTCCTTAGAGCAGAGGAGATTTAATAGAGGTGTTCAAAATTATGAGGGGTTTTGATATGGTAAGTAGGAAGAAACTGGTTCCTTTGGCGGGTGGGTCGGTAACCAGAGGATACAGATTCAAGATAATTGGCAAACAAACTAAAGGGGAGACAAGGAGACATTTTTTTTACGCAGAGAGTTGTTATGATCTGGAATGCAATACCTGAAAGGGTGGTAGAAGCAGATTCAACAACAACAACAACAACAAGATTCCATTTATAGAGCGCCTTTCACGTCGGGAGGACGTCCCAAGGCGCTGATTCAATAATAATTTCCAAAAGGGAAGTGGATATGTACTTGAAAAGAAAAAAATTACAAGGCTATGGGGAAAGTGCAGGGGAGTGTGACCAATTGGCAGCTCTTTCAAAGAGCCAGCACAGGCACGATGGGCCAAATCGCTTCCTTATGCGCTGTCAGATTCCATGATTCTAAGACTTATGCAAGCTTTACTGTATTTCTTTTTACAGGGATCTGAGAGGGAATTCTTTCCATTGTGACTGCAAACTCAAGTGGCTGGTCGAATGGTTGGTCAACACAAATGCAACTGTGGATCAGATCTACTGTGCCAGTCCTGTGGAGTACCAGGGTCATAAAATTAATAACCTCTCACTGAAGGAATTCGACTGCATAACCACAGGTGAAAAGAGCTGAATAAATGCTTTTAGCCACTCCACCCTGAAGCTGTGGAACTCTCTTCCTCCGAAGCTTTGGAACACTCTTCCCCCAATGCCTCCACTTTGCCCCCTCCTTCCCCTCTTTTAGATCATGAGTCATGACTAAAGACCTTCCTCTTCGACCATGCTTACGGTCACCTCCTCACTCCGCCCGCCTCAGCGACAGGCTTCGCCATTGTTAAGCGCGTGAAAGGAGCTATATAAATGCAAGTTGTTGTAAATAGCCTAAAAAAAATCTCTATCAGCATTTGAACCAACAGACCCTTACACAAAACATTTTTGTGGTTTCGCCCACAAAACATGCAGTCAATTCACTTTACAGTATATTCTGTGAAGCGCTTTGAGACGTCTAGATGTGAAAAGGCGCGATATCAAATGCAAGAATTATTATTATTATTACACAATTAATGTCCAACTCTTCCTTTCACCCTTCAGTCTCGTATTTTTACTTTTGAATCTTTCAGAATTTGCTCTCGATCGGTCTCTTCCGTTCCAGTCGCTCTCCATTGAAACCTTCACCTTCAAAAATGATGTCAAAGTGGCCATTGCCCAGCCAGTCATTGGGAAATGCAGCTTCTTTGAATGGGATCACGTAGAGATGGTTTTCAGGAACTACGACAATATTATCGGTAGGACTTTGCAGTTTACGGGAATGGCGGTAACATGGTCTCTTGTGTTTTGAATTGCTAACATTGCTTATATGTGGAATCCTGTCGTGGTTAGAGCACTCGCCTCTCAAGCGAGAGGACCTGGGTTTGATTCCCGGGCAGGGTGAAACCTTGGCAGGTTTCCTTACTCCACACGCCTCTGTTTATCTAGCAGTAAGTACGAATCCGGTTGTTAATCGTTTGGCAGATTGCTTTCTGGGGGTAATAATCCCTTCAGAAAATAACGTCCTGGTGTCTGTCCTGAAATTGCCCTTTACATGTTGCCCTAAATCCACGTTTTCTTGTACCATTGTATTATTAATAACAATAATTTTGTCACTCAATTCATGACTGTTTTGTGGGACACTGCTGGGCGCAATTGGCTGCCGCATTTCTCCTACAAAATACAGTCACTCCACTTTACAATATATTCCTTTGAAACCCTTCGAGACGTCTTGACAACACAATAAGGTGCTATATCAAATGCAAATATTATTATTATATCTATTATATAACAATGTAATGACATCTTTACACACACAGGCAGCTCTACCGTGTTCTGCAAACCACTTCTGATTGACACCCAGCTCTTTATTATCGTGGCCCAGCTGTTTGGTGGCTCCCACATCTACAAGAGGGACAACTTCGCAAACAAGTTCATCAAGATGCAAGACATAGACAGTATTAAAATCAGAAAACCCAATGACATTGAGACCTTCAAAATCGAGGGAGAATGGTACTTCATCATTGCGGACACCTCAAAGGCTGGTTCGACCACTGTATACAAGTGGAACGGTAATGGTTTCTACTCACACCAGTCGTTGCACCATTGGTATAGGGACACGGATGTGGAGTACCTCGAAATAGCCAACAAACCCCACCTGATCTTGTCGAGCAGCTCCCAGCGCCCAGTCATCTTCCAGTGGAACAAAAGCCAGAGAGAGTTTGTGAGGCGCACGGACATTCCCGACATGGAGGACGTATATTCTGTCAAGCACTTCAAAGTCAAGGGCGATTTGTACATCTGCTTGACAAGGTTCATAGGCGACTCCAAGGTGATGAAATGGGAATCATCCCGCTTCGTGGAAATGCAAACCCTCCCCTCCCGCGGAGCCATGGTGTTTCAGCCCCTGAGGATAAACAGTTGGCAATACGCCATCTTAGGCAGCGACTACTCCTTCACCCAGATCTACCGCTGGGACGCAGAGAAAGTCAAGTTCGTGAAATTCCAAGAACTAAACATCCAAGCTCCAAGGTCGTTCACGTTCGTGTCTACAGACAATCGCGAGTTCCTCTTCAGCTCCAGCTTCAAAGGCAACACCCAGATCTATAAACACGTCACCATTGACTTAAGCACAATCTAAAACAAAAGATAGACTGTTCGAACAATGCATTTCGAAACAAAATACTGTAAAAATGACAGCTTAAAAGTACTATTGGATAATCACATTTACATGGATGCGATAACGAACCGTACGCATGATATAACATTGTTACTGAGATTAATGGCATCAGGTTCCAAGTTTACTAGAAAAAGTATTTCTATTCCTCGTGTGCACTTTCTTCATTTTGTTTGATCGTATCACCTGTAGTGGTTTCACAAGTTTGACTGTGGCACCGTGAGCTATTTTAATTGTTGTGTTTGATGAAGGAAGCTGTAAATACTGTATTGTTGCAATCCTCCTATCTGTTGTACTTACAAAGAGAAAGATTGAAATGTACATTTCCATTTATTTATTCTACTGAATGAACAATCTTACAAATAAAATCTTTACATTTTTGCGTGTTTTTAAGGCAAATTATTTCCCACGGTGATTTTTTTTAGTACATAAGTTAGGACGAGAAGATTTTGGTCGCTGAGCCGACAATCTTATTTATGACTCTTGGGTACTTTACGGTAAATTGGTTCAAAGCAGAAAGGATGTTGCTATTCAGTGCACATTTGCTCTGTTAATATTTTTGTAGAATTAGTCTAGTTTAGACTGTAGAACAAATGCCAGATGAGAGTAGAAGGTGACCTGTTTCGTGGCTTTTGGACAAAATTAATGGTGTTCCACATGGGTCCATTCTGGGTCCTTTGCTTATAACATTATTTGTAAATGACTTGAAGGTGAACAATTAATAGAAGAAGGATCTGTGTCAATTCAACAGATGGGCTAAAGAGTGGCAGATGCATTTTATAGTCGACAATGATAGATAGGGTTTAAGTATAAAATATTGGAAAGGTTGTTCTCTGCTAACAGAGATTGCTAATCCTCTTTATTCTAGATGATATAACAAATGCCAGAAGAGAGAAGGAATGTGCACTCTCTCCCTGGAGGGACGTAACCTGCTTATCTAATTCCGGACCGGAATGTAAAACTCTTTATGTGAAACCAATACCAACAAAGCTATTCAAATTCCAAGTTGAATCTTGAGAGCATTTGACTGTAAATTTAAAGAAATTATTTCTTAGCTCATATAGATTGTGGAGTCCTTTAGCGTCTTGGTTAGAGCATTCGCCTCACAAACGAGAGGACCTAGGTTTGTTTTGATTCAAAATGTTAGGCAAGTTTCCTTACTCCACATGTCTCTGTTTATCTAGCAGTAAGCAGGAACCCGGTTGTCAGTCGATTGGCGGATCACTTTCCGGGGGAATAATCCCTTCAAAAAATAATAATAATTTGGTCACTCAATCCATGATTGTTTGTGGGACGCTGCTGTGTGCAATTGGCTGCCAAGTTTTGCCCACAAAATGCACAGTCAATTCACTTTACAGTATATTCTGTGAAGCACTTTGAGATGTCTCGAAGACGTGATAAGGCGCTATATCAAATGCAAGGATTATTATTTTTAGTCGACTGGTAATGTTACATTGTGAGTTACAGGGAATTTACCTTCAAAAGCACATTAGTGGATAGAGCAGAGCAACAGAGATTTGTAGATTAAGAGCTCTGTGTTCCAAACAGAGATTTGTGGAAATGGATGTGTTTTCATTGGAGAAAAGATTGAAGGGTAGAATGATCTTGGTATTTTAAAAATCTCAGAGACATAAATAATGCAGATATAATTAAACTATTTGGCCGAGACCTTGGATACAGAACTAAAGGACACCGGTTTGAAATTAACAAGCCTCAAGCGAGACTAGAAATTAGAAGTAACCGTTAATGTGTGGAACAGATGCCCAATAAAATTCACACCATGGCTCCTCCCCACCTTTCTGACCTGCTTTCTCCCTAATCCGCTACCCGCTGCCTCCGCTTGGCTCTGGCCTCCTGCTTGTCCCTAGTCTTCTCCACCCCACCAACGATGGCATGCGCTTTCAGCCAGTATGCCCCGAAGCTTTGGCACTCTCTGCCTCCGCCTGGCCGCCTCCTTCCTCACTTTCAGATCACAACTGAAGACCTTACTATTCGACCATGCTCGCGGTCACCTCTTCTCTTCCCCCTGGCTCAGTGTTAGGCTCTTAAGGCTCTTAAGTGCTCTGAGACGCTACTCTGCATGAAGGGCGGATCTTCAGAAGGCAGTTTTTCACCCGGAGTAGTTGAAATCTGGCACTCTTTCCCCACAAAATGCTGTACATGCTCCCCCTTGGTGACATCATCCGCAGACATGGGGTAAATTTCCATATGTATGCTGATGACACCCAACTCTACCTCTCTGCCTCCGCCCTCAACTCCAGGACTACTGAGGTCCTGACTGACAGCCTGTCCGACATCAAGTCCTGGACGAGGGACAACTTTCTCCAACTCAACGTCAGCAAGACCGAGGCCCTCCTGATTGGCTCATACCAGCGCCTCCACACCTCAGGCTCTGGCAGCTTCAGCCTCCATGGCTGCACATTCAACCCCACTAAGCCAGTCAGGAACCTGGGGGTTTTGTTTGACCCTGAACTGTCCTTTCTCCCCCATATCCACACCATGACCGGCACTGCCTACCACCACCTCCACAACATTGCCAGACTCCGCCACTGCCTCACCCCTCAGGCTGCCGAATCCTCACCCACACATTCGTCATATCAAGGCTCGATTACGGGAACTCCCTCCTCATCAGCCTTCCCAACTCTTCCCTTCACAAGCTGCAGATCATTCAAAACTCTGCAGCTCGTGTACTCTCACGCACCAGGCTCCGTAACCCCATCACTCCCACCCTCGCCCGACTCCACTGGCTCCCCATCTCCTAGAGGATCGAATTCAAGATCCTCGTCCTCACTTTCAAGGCCATCCATGGCCTTGCCCCCTCCTACCTCTCTGACCTGCTGACTCCCTACCAACCTGCCCGCTCCCTCCGTTCATCAGGCTCCGGGCTGCTCCATGTCTCCCGCCTGACCCGCCCTACCATCGGTGGCCCTCGCTTTCAGCCTCTCTGCCCCCACACTTTGGAACTCCATCCCAAGATCCCTTTGCCTCGCTTCCTCCCTTGCCTCCTTCAAGGCCGGTCTCGAGAACCTTCTCCTCGACCGTGCCTTTGATCTCCCTCCCACCTCTCTGCTTTCCCTCAACCTACACCACCCCTCCCCCATGCTCGGGCCCCGACATCTGACTGTTCAGCACTTTGGGACGTCCTCCCGACGTGAAAGGTGCTCTATAAATGTAATTTTGTTGTTGTTGTTGATAATCATGGTTTTAACTGAATCTCCTTTTCCTATTTTTTATGTTTATCATCCATCTGAACAGCACACACAGTTTAACATTTTATATAAAGGGACAGAACCTCTGGCAGTACAACATTTCCCCACATACCTCACTGTACTGGAGTATTAGCCTGGATTATCGTTCAAGACTAACGTGGGGCTTGAGTCCACAGTCTTCTGTCCCAGAGGTGAGAGCATTACCTGTGCTACCAACTGAGTCAAGCCGACAACTAAATTGGGTGTGATGGAATCCACGATAAGGTACATTTCTGTGAAGCGCTTTGAGATGTCTCAACTATGTGATAAGAGGCTATATTAAATGCAAGGATTATTATTATACAATCCTTGGTCCTCATTAAAAATACCTGTATCTCTTCTGCTTTCCAAGACAGAAATACAGAGTTCACTCTCATGCTCTGTTAGCTTCAATTACACGTATAATATGCCAATGTAATTTCCTGCTGTGATTATTTAATACCAATTTGTCTGAGCATCTGTAACATGTTTAAGGAGCTCACTAAATTATCGTTTAATTTTACTGCCAATAGATTGACGCATTTCCCTCTTTACTTCTGTTGATGATTTATTTATTGTGCGCAGTTCATATCATGGACAAAAGGGCATGTGGAGCAGAAATCTTTATAATAATAACTTGACTGCGCCTTCGGTCACCCTTCTACCCCAATCCTCCCTGTCCTCCACTCCTCCTGATTCCAACCCCCAGCTTGGGTGCATATCCTTGACTGTTCAACGCCTAGGGACGTCCTCCAGATGTGAAAGGTGCTATACCAATCTAATTTCTTGTTGTTGTTGCCTAATCATTGATCATAGTTAATTCCTTAGCCCCCTTATGTTGCAGTGTGATATTGCAACTTGCAGATCTGGCTCAACCACACTAAGACTTACCGCTCCGCCCTCGCCTCCGCCAAATCATCCTTCTACTCCAAGACAACCTTGGAGGCCAAGGACATTCTCAGGCTTCTCTTCTCTACCACTAACCACCTCCTCCGTCCAACTTCCCGCGCTTTGCCCATTCTCCCCTCCAATTCCGACTGAGATGTTGGACTTCCTTGAATCCAAAATCGAGGGGATTCATTCGGCTACCTCTCCCCCGTCCACCGGTACTGTAAGATTCTGTAAATAATGTGGAAAGTAATGTCTCAAATTATATTTGTAATGTTTATATATTTGATCAATGATCAATCTCATATGAGGGGAGCTGGTTGTGACTAGCTTCGAAGAAGATCCTTTCTCAAGGAGGAAAAACAAAAGACTGTTTTCATTTTCTTATCAGTCATTTTCTCATGGAAAAAATGATCTGCAGTTGGAGAGACCTATGTTGTTTTTTTACAAAGGAACCATCTTACAAAAGGCAATAAGTGAAAGGTCAGCTAATTAATGGTATAAACGGAGATCGATTTGAGAGAGGAGGAAATTGGAACTTGGAGTCGCGAACCATATTCCAGCTTCTAAAGAAGGAAGATCAAAACTATAATTTAAACAACACTAAATGTACAATAATACCTGGATACTTTTGGGTGATATTGAACGGGAACCGTACAACAATACTTGCGATACCTTTTGATAGACACATATTTGGATAAAATGGACATTAAATTGGACATTGCTCCTCTATCTCTCCCGCAGCATTTGGTTTGATCAACTTAAATCGTTGTGAACTACAGTATACGTGGATACGTAAGGATAATTGGATGTATTCTTTTAATTACTTATAACCATTATTAATCTGAATTAACAAACCTTGATTAATTGTATAACATTTGTGTCAGTCCTTATCTCACCGCAGGGTCACAAATTTAAATTAACCGTTACACTACCCCCTCGCCACCTCTTCCTCACGCCCCGGCCCCCACCCATTCCCTCCCTATACACCTTTGACCCTGTCTCCCCCTCTTCCCTCAACTCCATCATTTCAAAAATGAAGCCCACCACCTGCTCCCTCGACCCCATCCACACCCTTCTCCTCACCTCCCATCTCCACCTCCTGGCCCCCCTTTCAACCACATCATCAAATTCTCTTTATCCACTGGCACCATTGCCACCCCCATAAAAAACAGCTGTCATCATCCCCATCCTCAAAAAACCTTAACTGGACCCATCCCTACTCTCCAGCTATCGCCCCACCTCCAACCTCCCTTTCCTCTCCAAGGCCCTGGAACGAGTCATTGCGTCCCAGTTTCGTTCTTACCTCTCCCGCAATTCCCTCTATGAACCCTTCCAATCGGGTTTCCGTGCTGTCCACACACAGAAACAGCCCTGGTCAAAGTCACTAATGACATTCTGTCCATCTGATCACGGCTCTCTCTGTCTCCTCGTCTTCCTTGACCTCTCTGCTGCCTTTGCCACTGTTGACCATTCTATCCTCCTACACCGTCTCTCCTCTCAACTCAATCTTCGCAGACTTGCCCTTGCCTGGTTCGATTCCAAGCTCTCCAACCTTCTCCAAAAATAAATCTTCTTTGTTTTCTTTATCTCCCTTTTTATTTGTGGAGTCCTGTAGCGTATTGGTTAGAGCACTCGCCTCGCAAGCATTCGATTCCCGCTCAGGGCGAAACCTTAGGCACGTTTCCTAACTCCACACACACCTCTATTTACATAGAAGTAAGTAGGGGCAATAATATTTCCAGGGATAATAATCTCTCAAAACAAATGTGGTCACTCAATCCATAACTGATTGTGAAAAACTACTGTATGCAATTGGCTGCCACTTTTTACCCACAAAACACAGTCAATCCACTTCACAGTATATTGTGTGAAGCGCTTTGAGACATCTCAGCAATGTGATAAGACTCTATATCAAATGCAAGGATTATTATAAACTGAAGCTTATTGAGCTGTAGTCACTGTCCCCTCGCGGATCAATCACTTCCGCTCCCTGCGTACCGTCTCGGTCACTGACTGGAACTGAAGGAAAGGTGCCTCCTTGTGGGCTCCCTGATTCACTGAGCGAGGAAGCAATCCTGCACTACATTTACGTCCTCCGAGTCTTTCCTCTCCCGCCCTTGTGTTGGCTGACTGAAATTCCCCATTTGTGCTGCCTTCTTTTTTTTCACGTACGCTCCTAATTGTTCAACAACAACAACAACAAATTGCATTTATTCAGCGCCTTTCACATCGGGAGGACATCCCAAAGTGCTGGACAGTGTAGGCTTGCACCTATGACCTAAGGCGTGGTCAAAGAGGAAGGTCTTGAAACAGACCTTGAAGGAGACAAGGGAAGGGGGTGAGGCGGAGGAGCTCGGGATGGAGTTCCAGAGGGTGGGGGCAGAAAGGCTGATGGTGGAGCAGGCGGGGAGGGGGGGGGGACATGGAGCAGGCCAGTGCCCGCCGAGCGGAGGGAGTAATTCTATTTGCTTTGGTCTGGCGGTCTGTAGACAACTCCCGAGAAAAGACCTCTTCCTCTCCTCTCTCTCTCTCTCTCTCCCCCACCTCACTCTCCCCCTCTACCTCACTCCCCACTCCCACTCCCACTCACTCAAAATTTTATTTGGTCTTATATCGTTGAGCACATCTAACCAGAGAATTTCGTAACATGATTGATCCTGCGATGTTGGCTCAATTACCTTAACCTCCCACAAAGAAACCCGTCCTGTTGCCCCAATCTTTCCTAAATAACCCGTGTCTTGTAGGTTGGAGTCACGTCCACCATCCTGGTTTAGCCGCGGTTACCCCCACACACGTCCTACGACGCACACGGCTGGGCTCAATCGGCTGCCGCGTTTCGCCCACGGAGGACAGTTGACCCACAGCAACTAAGTCGCGTCCTGCGAAGGGGTCGAGACGCCTCGGTGACCCGACGAGACGGTACGGTCGAACGCGAGGGCTATTAGAATTAGAATGACCCGTGACCGGGGCTTCGCTCCCGTCACAGCGTTTGATTCCAAGCGCTTCCGACATTGACGTATCGGCAACTAAATACTTTTAAGTGGAGTCCTCCCTCCCTCCCTCCCTCCCTCCCTCCGTCTCTCCCTCCCTCCTTCCCTCCCTCCCTCCGTCTCTCCCTCCCTCCTCCCTCCCTCCCTCCCTCCGTCTCTCCTTCCCTCCCTCCATCTCTCCCTCCCTCCGTCTCTCCCTCCCTCCGTCTCTCCCTCCATCTCTCCTTCCCTCCATCTCTCCCTCCCTCCTCCCTCCCTCCGTCTCTTCCTCCCTCCCTCCTTCCCCCCTCCATCTCTCCTTCCCTCCGTCTCTCCCTCCCTCCTCCCTCCCTCCGTCTGTCTGTGCGTGTGTGCGTGTTTTCGCCCACAAAAATATACACAGTCACTACACTTTCCAGTGTATTCTGTGAAGCGCTTTGAGAAGCCTCGATGACGATGACGATGACGATGACGATGATGAAGATGACGATGCCCCCCTCCCCCTCCCGGAGCTGACACGGCTATTTACCTAAATATAATCTGTTTACGTACGTATTCATTTGTCCGCTTCACCTGATCGCCCCTTCCGGAACCTTCTGGGGCTCTCCAATGGGGGTGGGGGGGGTGTGTCACCTCATGCTGCCCAAGTGAAAGCGGAAACGGAAGTGCGTAGGCAGGTGAGCCCCGGTCAGAGTGACGTCGTTTCCTTTCCACCACTGAAGCGGTCCAGAGAGAGAGAGAGAGAGGGAGAGAGCGAGAAGGAAAGAAAGAGAGAGAGAGAGAGAGAGAAAGAAAGGAAGAGAGAGAAGAAAACGAAAGAAAATAATAGAGAGAAAAAGAGAGGAAGAAGGAAAAAGAGAGAATAAAGGAATAAAGACACACAGAGGGAGAGAGAGAGAGAGAGAGGGGGGGAGAGGCCATGGAGCCCGCGCACACCGCCGGCAGCTCGGCCCCGGCCCAGCCCGAGCCCGAGGCTGAGCCGCACACCGCGGGGGACAAGGCCCCGGAGAGCAGCGCCGCCGCCGCCGCCTCAACCTCGAGCCCCGACACCGCCTCCGCCACAGCCTCAGCCACAGCCACAGCCTCAGCCAAGCGGGGACACCAGGGGGGGGAGAGGGACAGGAAACACCAGGTGAGGGGGGGGAGGGGAGTGTGGGGGGGGGAGGGGAGTGAGGGGGGGGGGGAGGGGAGTGGGGGGGGGAGGGGAGTGAGGGGGGGGAGGGGAGTGTGGGGGGAGGGGAGGGGGGGAGGGGAGTGGGGGGGGAGGGGAGTGAGGGGGGGAGGGGAGGGGAGTGAGGGGGGGAGGGGAGGGGAGTGAGGGGGGGAGGGAGTGTGGGGGGAGGGGAGTGTGGGGGGGGAGGGGAGTGTGGGGGGAGGGGAGTGAGGGGGGGGAGGGGAGTGAGAGGGGAGGGGAGTGAGAGGGGAGGGGAGTGAGAGGGGAGGGGAGTGAGGGGGGTAGGGGAGTGTGGGGGGGAGGGGAGTGAGGGGGAGGGGGGGAGGGGGAGAAGGAATGAGGGGGGGAGAGAGAGAGGGGGAGGGAGTGAGGGGAGAAGGAGGATAGAGAATGAGAGTGGGAAAGAGTGAATGGGGGGAGGAGGGGGTGTTGGGGTGTGGGGGAGGGGGTTGGGGTGTGGGGGAGGGGGTTGGGGTGTGGGGGAGGGGGTTGGGGTGTGGGGAGGGGGTTGGGGTCTGAGGGGGTTGGGGTGTGGGGGGGTTGGGGTCTGTGGGGGAGGGGGTTGGGGTCTGTGGGGGAGGGGGTTGGGGTGTGGGGGGGGTTGGGGTGTGGGGGAGGGGGTGTGGGGGGGAGGGGGTGTGGGGTCTGTGGGGGAGGGGGTTGGGGTGTGGGGAGGGGGTTGGGGTGTGTGGGGGGGTTGGGGTGTGTGGGTTGGGGGGAGGGGGTGTGGGGGGGGAGGGTGTGTGGGGGTTGGGGGGGGGAGGGGGCGCGGAGACTAAATAATTTTCCCAATGAATTTAAACCTCTTCAGAACTAATGCCGACAAAGTCAGATGCCGCTGCGGTCACGATGCCCCACCCCAAGCCTAACCCTACCCCCCCCCCCCCGTGCCCTCCATCTTGCCCCCCCCCGTGCCCTCCATCTTGCCCCCCCCGTGCCCTCCATCTTGCCCCCCCCATGCCCTCCATCTTGCCCCCCGTGCCCTCCATCTTGCCTCCCCGTGCCCTCCATCTTGCCCCCCCCCGTGCCCTCCATCTTGCCCCCCCCGTGCCCTCCATCTTGCCCCCCCCCCCCCGTGCCCTCCATCTTGCCCCCCCCGTGCCCTCCATCTTGCCCCCCGTGCCCTCCATCTTGCCCCCCCGTGCCCTCCATCTTGCCCCCCCCGTGCCCTCCATCTTGCCCCCCCGTGCCCTCCATCTTGCCCCCCCCGTGCCCTCCATCTTGCCCCCCCGTGCCCTCCATCTTGCCCCCCCCGTGCCCTCCATCTTGCCACCCCCGTGCCCTCCATCTTGCCCCCCCCGTGCCCTCCATCTTGCCCCCCCCGTGCCCTCCACCTTGCCCCCCCCGTGCCCTCCACCTTGCCCCCCCCCGTGCCCTCCACCTTGCCCCCCCTCGTGCCCTCCACCTTGCCCCCCCTCGTGCCCTCCACCTTGCCCCCCCTCGTGCCCTTCTTTTAGAATGTGAATTAGTTGTGATCTAAAAGAGACCTTCCAGTTCGATGCTTATGGTCACCTTTCTCCCCCCACCTCCCCCGGTTTGAGGTCGGGCTCTGCTGCTGTTAAGTGTTCCGAGAGGTTGCCTCGGGTGTTGTCCCCTCTGCTATCATTCACAAAATCCAGGTCGTCCAAAACTCTGCCGCCCGCATTCTCACCCGCGCCAAACTCCGCTCCCCGACCCCCCCAGTCCTGGCCGGACTGCACCGGCCGCCTGTCCCAGAGAGGATCGACTTCAAGACCCTCACCCTTGTATTCAAGTCCCTCCACTCCTCTGCACCCCCCAACCTCTCTGACCTCCTCTCTCCTCAAAACAGTACCCGTTGCTTTCGCTCCACCGGGTCTGGCCTCCTCCTCGTCCCCCGAGTCCTCCGCTCCACCCTCGGCGGCCGTGCCTTCAGCCACTACGCCCCGAGGCTCTGGAACTGCCTTCCTCACTCCCTTTGCCTCGACCCCTCTCTTCCCATTTTCAGGTCTCGGCTGAAGACCTTTCTTTTCGACCGCGCCTTTGGTCACCTTCCCCCTCCCCCTGGCTCGGCCCCGGGATCCGTTACTGTGAAGCGCTCTGAGACGCCGTCCGGCGTGGAGGGCGCTATATAAATCAAAGTTGTTGTTGTTCAATATATAAATGCAAGTTGTTGTCCCCTGTATGTGCAACACAGTGACTGATAGTTTAGCAAACAGTTGGGTGTTTGCTCCTGCAATGCAATGTTTGATTTGAGTTCTGAATTCACGGTCATTAACTAAGAATTGCGGTTTAACTTATTCAGGTCTGTCTTGCTTCTCCTAAACGTTCTCTTTTATATGCAATGTTTAGCCATGTTTTATCTCCTCTTATCAAACAGAAAACCAGTGAAGGGCACTGCAGCAAGGTGGCTGCACATTATAACGAGCTGCAAGAGTGCGGTCTGGCCGCCCGCAGCCAAAGCCGCATCTTCTTCTTACGCAACTTCAACAACTGGATCAAGAGTGTCCTTATTGGTAGGTGGTGTGAACGGCAGTCCTATGTTGGAGTTAAGCCAACCCTCTGTGGCGGTCTCGGTCGTCCCATTCTTGAGCCAGTTGGTATTCCAGGGCACTGCTGATAACAGACCAGCCAGCCTGGAAAACCAGTCACTATGGGCAGGAACTCTTCCCACGCAGTTCAAGCACTCCGGAGGCCACCCCACGTGAAGGGCACTATACAAATTATAATAATAATAATCCATGCATTTGATACAGTGCCTTATCATGTCATTGAGGCGTCTCAAAGTGCTTCACAGAATATATTGTAGAGTGGATTGACTGTGTATTTTGTAGGTGAAAGGCGAGAGAAGATTTGTTGTTAACCTTGCAAGCCAAAGCTCTAACAAGTAGGGTGGTCTTAGCTGGACAAACCGCGGGATAGTTTGCCAAACAATGAAACAGACAAACACTTTGGTTTTCGCAAGTTAAAACAGCAGTATCACAACACACCCTCTGGGATCCCCTAGTCTTGATTCTTGCCAACCTGCGCCTAACACTCTGGAATTAGGGAAGCAGGAGTGCATGTTCCATTCCACTTGCATGGAAATTTCCATGTGTAAGTGGCATAATGTACATGGCACGCTGTCTGGTTTGGGTACCCTTAATCATGGTGATCGGTTTCCATGTGTGTCAGACCTGGCTGATCAAACAACAAGCCTTATGTCAGCGGTTAAATAGAAAAAATAGAAAAAACAAGAACAGGAGCATGACATTCAGTTGATAAGCCTGTTCCATCAATTTGAGTTAAATGTCCAGGCTTTCTGTGCGTGGACAGTTGTGAGGGAGTGATGCATCGATGGAGATGACATCTGTTCGCTAACAAAACACACTTTACAACATATCCTGTGAAGCGTTTTATGACGTTCTAACGTGAAAGGAATGATACCAAAGAAACCAGCCTGTTCAGGTGGACGTTAAAGATCCCATGGAATTATTAGAAAAAAGAAAGGCATTTCTCCCAGAGTTCTTGTCAACAACACTCTAAATTAAATGGTGATTTACTTCATGATTGCTAATGGGATATTGTGTGCAAATTGTCTGCTATGTTTAGATACAAAATTATTAAACTTGACATTAATTCTCTCTGTGAAGCATTTTGAGACCTTTTGAGATTATAAGCATTATATCAAAAGTAAGAATTGTTATTAGAAATCTGTCAAGCAGAATGCATCCAAATCGAGGGCAGTCACTTTTCATGAACACATTTTCATGAAAGCCTCCATTGGCTGAAATATTCTTATTTGATTATAGATAATTTCTCCAAGCGATCACGAGGACGCCGGGCTCAAGCAATTGCTCTTGTTTAGTGCCTTTCATGTAGGATTGATGCTTTTAAGTGCTTCACGAAGAATATGAGAAAACTCGTTGAGTCCCGTAGAGTAGTGGTTAGAGCACTTGTCTTGCAAGTGAGAGGACTCTGGTTCGATTGCCGGGCAGGGCGAAATTTTAGGCAAGTTTTCTTACTCCACACACCTCTGTTTATATCTAGCAGTAAGTGGAAACCTGGTTGTCAGACGATTGGCAGATCGCTTTCCGGGGGTAATAATCCCTTCAAAATATAATAACTAAACATAATTTGGTCACTCACTCCATGACTGTGTGGCATATTGCTGTGCGCAATTGGCTGCTGTGTTTTGCCCACAAAATATCCAGTCAATTCACTTTACAATATATTCTGTGAAGCACTTTGAGACGTCTCAACGACGTGATAAGGTAGTATATCAAATACAAATTATTGTTGTTATTATTAAAAACACCAGCCTGGACATGATGGGCTGACCAAATCTTTTCTGTTAGACTCTGTGGTTTTGTGATTTGCAGGGGAGTGCCTTGAAAAGATGAGGAAGAACAGACGTGACATCGGGGTTTTAGACCTGGGCTGTGGGAAAGGTGGTGATCTGCTGAAGTGGAAAAAAGGAGGAATCAGCAAATTGGTTTGCGTTGGTAAGCACTTCTTCACATCCTTTCATGCTTACTCCTGACTGCTTACTGCCCAACCCACTAACCATTGCCTCTGCTCGACTGGCTCTACCCAGCCTAACCTCCAGAGACTTACTAGACCGGTGGGCAACTTGGACGTCAGGTTCGACCCATACCTTTCTGTCTCATCCCTGACCAGGACCACTTTCCTCCGCCACGTTGCCCACCTCAGACCTTACCCTAAACACAGCCGAAACACTCGTCCATACATTTGTCACCTCCTGTGTCGATGACTCAAATGCCCTCCTTGCCGATCTATATAAGTTGTTGTTGCTTTTGTCTCTGTTGCATATGTCAACTTTAGAATATTCTTCCCAGAACTTTTTCTGTGTCTTATTCTGTCACCTCCCGCCTCGACTATTCGAATGCCCTCCTCACCTGTCCCCAGCTCCACTATCCATAAAATCCAGTTAATCCAAAACTGCTGCCTGGGTACTCACCCGTACTAAACTCTGTACCCACTTCAACAACAACAAGATTCCATTTATTGAGCGCCTTTCACGTCGGGAGGACGTCCCAAGGCGCTAGAACTTCTCATCAGTTCTAGCCAGACTCCACTGGCTCCCTATCGCCAAACGGTTTGATTTCAAGATCCTCACACTTGTCTTCAAATCCCTTCATGTCCTTCCTCTTCGACTGTGCCTTCGGTCACCTCCAACTAACTCTGCCACTGTCAAGAGCTCTGGGATGCTTCCTTGCGTGAGGACCTTAATTTGTTGTTGTTCCGGTTTTAATTAGGGTTTCTTTGGAATAATGCATCCACTATATGAAGAAGTTGAATTAATATACAGTTGAGGTAGTTGCTGGAAAGATTGTATGTCTACATAGTGTATGTGAGTGTGTGTATACATGTATACTCCCTCACAATGCTTGCACTTGATACCTCTTATCAGTTTGGCTCAGTTGATTAGATGATGGCTGATCTGTACCTCAACTCCATTTACCCGCCTTTGCCCCATATCTCTTGATACCCTGACCTAACAAAAATCTATCCACTTCAATCTTGAAGATGTGAATGGATCCAGCATCCACAGCCTTTTGGGGAATGGAGACAATTTCAGATTTCCACTTCCCTTTATGTGAAAATATAAGAACATACCATAAGAACAGCTGTACAAAAAAAAGACCAAGGTGCATCTAATTCGCTTTCCACCTTCCTGGCAGTCCCATGCACCTATGAAAACATTGGGACTTTGGTCTCATCATTTAGGTTGATGCTCCGGAGGTGGGGGTGCGTGTGCTGCATTGTTGCAGGTGCCGTCCTTCGATTGAAACATCAGTTTGTTTGGTCAGGTGGACATTAAATATCTGCTTGATGTAGTGTCTCGGTTCTTGAGGCATTTGTTAACTTTTGAGGTGGAAGCTGGAGGCTGTTTTGATGTTTTCATTGCTCTATTTAGAAGCTGTCTGATAACTAATTTGGTTCAATAATTGGTTGTTCATTGGTTATTTTTCAATTGTTCATTTTTCTTCCTCCCCTAAAAGATATTGCTAAGGTCTCTGTGCAGCAGTGCTCCCAGCGATACGGTGATATGAAAAGCAGAGGCCATTCCAACGAACCTCTTTATGCAGCAGAATTTATAACTGCAGATTGCACCAAGGTAATAACCGTTAGTTTAGAAATATCTACTGTATTTACCTGCTTCGGTTCATTACAACAGCTATATGAGAAATCTGATGAGCAAGATTCATCAGATTCACCAAAATGATTCCAGGACTTAAATAAGGTTAAATTCAGAGGACAATTTGCATAAACTTGACTTGCACTCCCTTAACTTTAGGAGGTTGAGGAGTGATCTAATTGAGGTGTTCGAAATGATAAAGAGATTTGTGAGGGTACATACAGAGAAACTATTTCCTCTGGTGGGGGAATCCAGAGGTAAGTGCTCTAACCACTGTGCTAAGGTCCTCTAATGTTAGAGCTAGGCCATTTAGGAGTGAATCAGGAAGCATTTGCACATGGAAATCCCAGAGATAGATTGTTGGAATGGAATGCACACTCTCTCCCTGAGGGGACACACCTGCTTACCTAATCCTGGAGAGTATTAGGCGCAGGTTAGCAAAAGCCAAGACTTGGGGGCCCCAGGATGTGCGCTGGGGTAACTGCCGAGTCTAACCAGGTAACACCACACAGCTTGCCATTAATAGCTCTGTCTGGGAAGCTTTCCCGCTGCTTAGGAGAGAAATGATGTTAAAAGAGAAATAGTGTGTACCCGTCAAACTCTTTGACTAACTCTGATGCTTGGTTCTCGTTTGATCAGTGTGATTGTTTTTGGTGAACTTTTGTATTTCCAGGAGGTTCTGACTGAAAAGTACAAGGATCCTGAAAACACCTTTGATGTCTGCAGCTGTCAGTTTGTGTACCACTACTCTTTTGAGACCCAGGAACAGGCGGACACCATGCTACGGAATGCGTGTGAACGTCTTCGCCCTGGAGGCTACTTCATTGGCACCACACCCGATGCTTATGAACTTGTGTGAGTCCGCTTTCATCCAGGTGTCCATCCCAGAGTGGTCCACCTCACCCACACCCGCCTCGTCCGTTCTTTTCAGCTTTTGGTCAACTCTTCCCACCCCCACCATCCATCTTTCGGATGAAACGTTAAACTGCCTTCAGGAGAAAATTTACAGATTTTTTATTACCCTTCCCTCTCCTCCACCTTCGCCCACTTTGGATGACATGTTAAACCAAGGTCCCATCTTCCTGTTCAGGTGGATGTTAAAGATCCCGTGGGGCTATTTGAAAAGAGAAGAGAGTTTCTCTCTCCCGAAGTCCTGGCTAACAATCCCCCAAATAAAATTGGTTGCTCACTCCATGGCTGCTTGTGGGACACTGCTTCTGCATTTGCCAACAAATACAAATACACAATCATTCCATTTCACAGTAAATGCTGTGAAGCGCTTTGAGACAACCTTTCGACATTATAAGGTGCTATACCAAATTCAAGAATGGTGATTATTATTATTATCCTCAGCTCCCCCTCGTTCAGGCTCTCAGCCAGCTCAGTGAGGTGCTTTGACACATCCTCCTGATGTGAAATGCACAAATATGAATGTAAAATTGTCTTTGTTGGTGTAGTTATTTTTGTCCTTTGCAAACATCAAACTACTGGAGGAGATTGGTGAAATCTATTGCAGTGCTGATGCTATCAGTTGGTAGCTATTTTTTTTAGTGCCAATTGCCCATAGCGAATCCCACAAAAAGTTGTGGATTGAGTGACCAAATTATTTTTTGAGGGATTATTACCCCTGGAAAGCAATCCGCCAGTTAGCAAACTGCCAGGTAAACAGAGACCTGTGGAGTGAAGGAACCTGCCTAAGGTTTTGCCCCCCCCCCACCCGAGGAATCAAACCCGTGTCCTCTTGCTTGCGAGGCGAGCGCGCTAACCACAGCATTGGGGACTCCAGTTGACTGTTGTACATGACCCCTGGAATAAAATTGTTGTGTGGGGGATATTTAAATTGCCTGAAATATTCTAAGGAATTTGGGGAAGTTCTGAAAAAAATGCAAGAGATAAAAACTTTAACAGTATATTGGAGGAAGCTTGCAGATTGGGGTTAAAATGAGCCTGTGGTTGTGCATTTGCTCTGTGAGTATCGCTTTGGTTAATTCCTTTGTTTTCCCTACAGCAAACGCCTGGAAGCATCAGAGACGAACGCCTTTGGAAACGACTTGTACAGTGTAACCTTTAAAAAGAAGGGAGATTACCCTCTGTTTGGCTGCCAGTATGACTTTAACCTGGAAGGGGTAGTCAATGTACCAGAATTCTTGGTTTACTTCCCACTGTTCGAAGAGTAAGTTCTGCATTTACACCATGGTGGTCTCATTCAATAATAATAAAAAATAATAATCCTTGCGTTTGATACAGCGCCTTATCACGTCGTCGAGACTTCTCAAAGAGCTTCACAGAATCTACTGTGTATTTTGTGAGCAAAATGCGGCAGCCAGTTGCACACAGTCGTGGACTGAGTGACCAGTTATTATTTTATTTATTTCGAAGGGATTATTACCCCTGGAAAGCGATCTGCCAATTGACTAACAAAATACAGTCACTATATAGTATGTCTGAGAAGCGTTTTGAGATGTCATTATAAAGTGCTATATGCATGGATTACTACTAATAATAAACAAATTGGATTGAACTGTTACAGATAATGCATTCACCTTGGATTCCAGGCATTTAGTGCTCTGTTGTCTATTAGTCAATTGGTCGGTTCCTTTGGTGTGTGTGTGTGGGGTGGGGGGGGGCAGGGGTGGGTGATGGGGGCGTCCTTTACACTGATGTTATATTATGTCAATATTTACATGGTTAATGACTCAGTAACTGGTATTCGGAGTCCTGTAGCTCAGTGGTTAGAGCACTCGCTTTGCAAGTGAGAGACCTGAGTTCAATTCCAGGCAGGGCGAAACCTTGGGCAAGTTTCCTTTCTCCACACAGAGCCTAATAATAATCCTTCCAAAACAAAAACAATAATAAATTGGTCATTTTCAATCTACGACTGTTTGTGGGACATTGCTGTGCGCAATTGGCTGCCGCGTTCGCCAAATATACAGTCAATTCACTTTACAGTCTATTCTGTGAAGCGCTTTGGGACGTCCTCCCGACGTGAAAAGCGCTATATCAAATGCAAGGATTATTATTATTATTATTTTGTCCTTTTTAGGATGGCGAAAAAGTACAAGATGAAGCTCGTCTTCAAAAAGACTTTTGCCGAATTTTTCAAAGACAAAGTTCAAAATTCGGAGCACAAAACACTGCTGAAAAAGATGCAATCTTTAGAGGTAACGTGAAATGATAGCTTGCGATGGAAACCGAACATTCCATCAGTTGCCAATATCTGTTTAAAAAAAGTTGTAATGATAATTCTTGCACTTGATTTAACGCCTTATCACATCGATGACATGTCTAAAAGTGCTTCACAGAATACAGTAAAAGGAATTGGCTGTATATTTTAGGGTATCCCGCCCTGCTCACTCCACCATCGGCGGTTGGGCCTTCAGCTTTTCTGCCCCCTCCCTTTGGAACTCCATCCCACAGTCCCTGCGTCTCGCTCCCTCCCATGCTTCCTTCAAGGCCTGTCTCAAGACCCTCCTTTTCGATCGTGCCTTTGGTCACCGTCTGACCCCTACCCTCCCTGCCCTCCAGCTTTCTGATCCCAACCCCCAGCTCGTGTCCAAATCCATGTTTATATCAATGTAATTAATTTTTTTAATCCATCTGCTTACCATGTTCATGTTGTAGCAATATCCTGCTCCAGAGAATGGCAGCCTCGTAACCGATAAAACAGATTATGACCACGCAGAAGATTATCTGAAGAATCCACAAGCAAAAGTGCCACTTGTAAGTTTGCATTCGAAGTATCAATTCAAAGTTTCCCTCTTATGCCGTTAAGCGAGTGTTAATGAGCCACTTTTAAACTCCGCGACTCCCGTCACCTCCCAACATGACTATTCAAATGCCTGCCTTGCCGGTCTCCCCAACTGCACTATCCACAAAATCCAGTTGATCCAAAACTCCGCAATCTGCATACTCACCCGCAAGAATCTCCGTGCGCCATCACACCAGTTCTAGCCAGGCTCTACTGGCTCCCTATCGCTGAACTGATGAACTTCAAGAACCTTGCACTTCAAGTCCCTTCATGTCCTGCCACCGCCCTACCTCTATAATAATAATAATCCTTGCATTTGATTTAGCGCTTTTCACATCAGGAGGACGTCCCAAAGCGCTTCACAGAACACACTGGAAAGTGAATTGACTGTATATTTGTGGGTGAACGCGGCAACCAATTGCGCACAGCAATGTCCCACAAACAGTCATGGATTGAAAATGACCAATTTATTATTGTTTTTGGTTTTGGAGGGATTATTATTAGGCTCTGTGTGGAGTAAGGAAACTTGCCCAAGGTTTCGCCCTCTGCCTGGAATTGAACTCAGATCTCTCGCTTGCAAAGCGAGTTCTCTAACCACTGAGCTACAGGACTCCACTCTCTGAACTGCTTACCCCCCAACCCACTACCTGCTGCCTCAACTTGACTGGCTCCGACCTCCTGCTTGTCACTTCGGTGGCCGTACTTTCAGCCACTGTGCCCAAAACTCTGGAACGCTCCCTGTATTCCCCACTTTGCCCTCGTCCTACCCCATCTTCAGGTTGTCCCTGAAAACCTTCCTCTTCAACTGTGCCACCGGTCACCTTCTGCTGCCCCTGGCTTCGCGTCAGGTTCTGCCACCATTAAGCGCTCTGGGACGTTACCCTTGTAACGGGCATGATATAAATGCAAGTTGTTGTTGTTGACTTTTGCCTATGGAGACGAGCCTGCTCAAGGAGTGTGAAGTATTGTAAAACAGCCTCTGTTGTTGTGTGTGACCCAAAGAAGCTGAGAACTCTGCACTAAGTTGCACGTGTGCAGTTAATTGCTCCTTCAGTTACTACAACAACAACAACTTGGATTTATATAGCGCCCTCCACGCCGGACGGCGTCTCAGAGCGCTTCACAATAATGGATCCCGGGGCCAAGCCAGGGGGAGGGGGAAGAAGGTGACCAAAGGTGCGGTCGAAAAGAAAGGTCTTCAGCCGAGACTGAAAATAGGAAGAGAGCGGGTGAGGCGAAGGGAGTGAGGAAGGGAGTTCCAAAGTTACTCAGTGGGTTGTTGAATTGTTCCCATGAGCAATCCATAGACCTGTTTGAAAAATTAGTTGTGCGTGTATTTTGTAAAGAGAAGAGAAGTGAACTAAATCTCTTATGATTTTTAAATTTCTGCTAGGTTTTGGGACTACATTTAGAAAGAAGCCTAGTGGTTGTCAAAAGGCGGCAGGACAAGTTGATAAAGCTGTTTGAAAAAGCATATGGGATTCTTGGCTTTATAAATAGAGATATAGGGTGGAAAAGCAAGGAAGTTAAGCTAAGCCTTTATAAATCACTAGTTAGGCCTCAGCTGGGGTATTGCATCCAATTCTGGGCATCACACTTTAGGAAGGATATCAAGGCTTTGGAGAAGCTGCAAAGGAGATTTACTAGGATGATACCATGGATGAGGGACTTTCGTTATGTGGACAGACTAGAGAAGCCGGGATTGTTCTCCTTAGAGCAGCGAAGGTTAAAGGGAGATTTAATAGAGGTGTTCAAAATTATGAGGGATTTTGATAAGAGTAGATAAGGAGAAACTGTTTCCACTGGCAGGTAGGTCGGTAACCAGAGGACACAGATTTAAGATAATTGGCTAAAGAACCAGTGGGGAGATGGGGAGAATTATTTTTACGCAGAGAGTTGTTACGATCTGGAATTCACTGCCTAAAAGGGTGATGGAAGCAGATTCAATAATAACTTTCAAAAGGGAATTAGATAAGTACTTGAAAAAGAAAAAAAAAATGCAAGGCTATGGAAAATTGGGACTTGTTGGGTAGCTCTTTCAAAGAGCCGGCACAGGTATGATGGGCCGAATGGCCTCCTCCTCCTGTGCTGTAAGATTCTATGATTCTATAAAAAAAGGCCCTGGGGGTTGATGGCCCATGCACATTGCTGCTGGTTCTGTTTGTCTGACTAACCCATGACTAAATGTTTGTACAGCAGTGTACCATTCATCCAGCAAAGAATCATTTTGTATCTTAAATCGATCCAGTGTATAAATACCCGTAGGTGGTAATTAGCTCATCTGCCAAAGCCTTAATGATGTATAGTGGTGGTGGTTTGGGAAAATGGATCTTAAGCAAAGAGCTCCGAATGGTAATTACTTTCTTGAGGAGGAATGAAGAGCGTTATAATTCACAGTCCAAGTGTGACGCATTTTCCTGTGACTTGCATTTGTGTTTAGCAACCCTTCTGAAGAGTGGATTTTTGAAACTTTTTTCCAATGTGTCTTAACAGCGCATCAGATCCCTGATGTGGTAAGCCTTGAGCTGTCGGATTGAGTAAGACTCAATGCAGTGTGACACTGTTGAATCTAACATGGAACCTGCAGTATGGTCAGACTATCATTTTCCGGCTCACCCAAATTCAAAATACATTGCCTGATGCAAAAGTTCCCTGCCTCCCACCTTCACACGGAAATCCCAGAGATAGATTGTTGGAATGGAGGGACACATCCCGCTTACCTAATTCCGGAGAGTATTAGGCGCAGGTTGGCAAGAGCCAAGGCTTGGGGATCTCAAGAGTGTCACTTGGGGTAACTGCTGGATTATGACCAGCTGGAACCACACAGCTTGCCATTGAGAGCGCTGTTGAATTAAAAACGATTGTATAGTTGGGTCTGAAGTTGCCTGTGTGATATGAAATGACACTTTTGATTGGATATCTGTTCGTATTGTTGCAGAATGACCTGGGTTGTAAAACGTTTTCAAGATGATATAAAATCTACAGCCCAAATTATTTTTTTGCGCTGATGCATAAAGGGCTGGTGAGCATTTGCTATGATCCTATGAAGATCACGACTTTTATAATTTATTGCTCATGCGGTCATGTTCTTTATTGTAATTTTATGTCCCTTCACTCCTCATACAGGGAACATTAAGCAAGGCTGAGTGGGAGGCTACAAGTAAGCAGATCATTTTGTTGCTTTCCATGATTTCATCTTGTAGTCAACTGTTTCTTATTGTAACCCGCACCAAGCTCTATGATCCTGTCACTCGGCTCAGCAGGCTCTGACCTGCTCCCATGTTCCCCGCTTGGCCGACCCCACCATCAGCAGTAGGGCTTTTAACCTTTCGGCCCTCACCCTCTGGAACTCCATCCCACATTCTTCTCGCCTCGCTCCCTCCCTTGCCTCCTTCAAGGCCCGTCTCAAGACCCTCTTCGATTGCACTTTCGGTCACTTTCCTACCCCCCACCGTTCCTGCCCTCCACTCCTCCTGATCCCAACTACCAGCTCGGGTCCAAATCTTTGACTGTCCAGCGCCTCGAGATATCCTCCCGACATGAAACTTGTACAAGTCCTGGACGAGGGCCAACTTTCTCCAACTCAACGTCAGCAAGACCGAGACCCTCCTGATTGGCTCGCACCAGCGCCTCCGCACCTCGGGCTCTGGCAGCTTCAGCCTCCACGGCTACACTAAGCCAGCCAGGAATCTGGGTATCTTGTTTGACCCTGAACTGTCCTTTCTCCCCCACATTCACACCATGACTGCCACTGCCTACCACCACCTCCGTAACATTGCCAGACTCCGCCACTGCCTCACCCCTCAGGCTACTGAACCCTCACCCAAACATTCATTACATCAAGGCTCGACTACGGGAACTCCCTCCTCATCGGCCTTCCCAACTCTTCCCTTCACAAGCTGCAGATCATCCAAAACTCTGCAGCTCGTGTACTCTCACGCACCAGGCTCCGTGACCCCATCACTCCCGCCCTCACCCGACTCCACTGGCTCCCCATCTCCCAGAGGATCGAGTTCAAGATTCTCGTCCTCACTTTCAAGGCCATCCATGGCCTTGCCCCCTCCTATCTCTCTGACCTGCTGACTCCCTACCAACCTGCCCGCTCCCTCCATTCAGTGGGCTCCGGTCTGCTCCATGTCTCCTGCCCAACCCGCCCTACCATCGGTGGCCGGGCTTTCAGTCTCTCTGCCCCCACACTCTGGAACTCCATCCCACAGTCCCTTCGCCTTTCTTCCTCCCTCGCCTCCTTCAAGGCCGGTCTCAAGACCCTTCTCTTCGACCGTGCCTTTGGTCTCCCTCCCACCACTCTGCCTTCCCTCACCCCTACACCACCCCTCCCCCATGCTCGGGCCCCGACACCTGACTGTTCAGTGCTTTTGGACCTCCTCCCGACGTGAAAGGCACTCTATAAATGTCATTTTGTTGTTGTATATCGCCCTCCATGCAGGGTAGCTTCTCAGCGCTTAACAGTGGCGGAGCCTGAGCTGGGGGAATGTGGTGATATGTAAATGTCATTTGTTGTTGTATGGCACCAAATGAGCCCTAATGTTTTCAGATTGAGAGCAGCTAACACAGTAGAGTCCATGATTGCACCTAAATCTGTATGATTTAGTTCAGCCTTTATCTATATTTACCAGGCCTTTGGGCTGCTACAATAGATATCTTGTGATGCTGGTAAATGTTCGCATGTTATCATCCCTGCGTTTGATACAGCTCCTTATCATGTTGTGGAAATGTCTCAAAGCGCTTCACAGGAATTACTGTGAAGTGCAGTAGACAAAAGCAGCAGCTCATTTGCACACAGCAGTGCCTCACAAACAGCCGTCAAATGGATGACTGATTTTATTGTTGGCCATGACACCGAGGGAAACTCCCTTCACTTTTCGGACAGTGCCATGGGATCCACCTGAATAAGTAGAGGGAACATTGGTTTAATGTCTGTCCAAAGCACATCACCTCTGACAATGCAACTCGATAATGCATTGAAGTTGTCACCCTCGGCTGTGAGCTTAAAGTCCGGACATGGGGCTTGAACTCATAATGTGTGACGGAGAGGCAAGCTTCCTACCAACTGAGCCTGGCTGACATACAGTGGGTAAAGGCTGGACTCTAAAAGAGCTTTGAGTTCAGTAAATCACTTGGCTTGGGCTCAGCTGATGTTCGCCTGCTCTTTGAGACTCCTGCAATTCGCTTCTCTTGACGCTGGGTGGTGTGAGAGCTGTTGAGGCCGTCATACCAACTGCTTTCTCTCACAGTCATGTCTGCAGTTGTCATTGTGGACTTTCACAGGCTGTTGTAAGAGTTGGGGAATAGGCTTTCATGTTTTTTTTAAAAAAATCTTGTCTTTGAAAATCATTATCAACGTTCAGCTGCCAATACGGTGACATCTGTTTGCTTTCCCTTTAGCCGTCTGGCCCTCATTAACCGTGAGAGAGGTTTTCATGAGCTACCTCAAGACCCAAATGAATTGTGAAGATATTAAAATCATTATCCCTTTCCCCAACCTCACTATGGAACTGTAATTGAATTGTACAGGTTCATCATGTAACGTGAGAGTAATATCTTTTTTCTTGTATCCCTCGTCTCCTCAGGCATATACTTAGTGTTTGCATTTGAGAAGCAGCCATAAAAAAAGAGCATATTAATTGGAAATTACTTTGGCATCGAAAGCTGTTCATCAGCAGTTCACAAGAAGTCTCTCCTCTTAAGTACATCAACGGACAACTTTCAGCTGCTTTAAAATACAGTGTTTTAAGATATTGACATTTACATCAAGAAGGTGGCATTTCAGTGAGTTCCATGTGCTCAAATGAAGATAAAGGTTAAGGAAATTGATGGATTCCTCAATGTTCGTGTTGTCTGATGATGAATTTTCTTTTTTTTAAAAAGAATGCTTTGTATAGAACTTGCTTATGTTTTAGCTGCAAAGAAGCTAATTTTCCATTTTTTATATTTTATTTAAAAAAAGGTCTTGAATGGTATTTTTACTTTGACCGTATTTTTGTTGAAGGTTATTTGAATACGGTTAAGCTTAGATAAAGGTTACAAAGCTGGATTGGTTATTCAATATTTTACAGTAAAACTTGCATAAGTCTGATCTGTATAAATCATATAATTACCTAAGTTGTACATCTGCCCGAGTCCTATTCAAGAGTTTATATTCTATGCAAGTTTGACACAACTCGTAGTTTGCGTAAGTCATATTAAATGTATGGTCCCAACTGATACGACTTATGTGAGGTTTACTGTACTATCCTGTAAATGTTTGATCAAAGAGAGTGATTTTTGTGGTCCTGTTGATGCAGATCTGGTGTTGAGCTTCTGAACAGGCAGTCGGAACACTTCAACGATATCGCAATGTCCTGGCATATTTCCCACTACTGTTTCTCCTTGTATTGCAACGTCGTGTAGCATTCACCTGTAAATAGTTATTTGCGAAAAAGGGTGACAGCTGGGTCAGATTATTTTTGTTTAATATGCTGGCATTGAAATCAGTGCTAACAATAAAGTGTTTTGAAAGCGAAATTCAGACTCNTTTTTTTAAAAAATAAATACCTGACTGTTGAAATATCACATTCTTTGTGAATGCTTTGTTCCTATTCAGCTTCCAATTATGTATATAACCACCATCTCCTGTTCGCTAAGTACAGTGTGTCTAGAATAGTACAGGCAATCTGCTTTTTGGGGGGAAGTGGGGGGAGGAAAGCTGAACTGGCTCATCACCAGGACTTGGAAGGGCAGACCAGTGACTGGACCAGGGAATCATCCCACTCAGCTCCTGTTCAATCAGCGGGAAAGCTTGCCAGACAGCGCTATTGGCAAGCTGTATGGTTTTAGCTGGTTAGACTCAAGCAGTTACCCCAACACACACTGGGGTCCCCAAACCTTGACTCGCCTACCTGTGCCTAATACGTTCTGGAATTAGGTAAACAGGATGCGTCCCTCCAGGGAGAGAGAGCGCATTCCAACAATATATCTCCGGGATTTCCGTGTGTAGGTGGGAGGCAGGGAATTCTCAGCTCGGTCTCAAACATGGTGATGGGTCTTCACGTGTCAGGAACTCGGCAGAACAAAAAAAAAGTTTGCAAAGAAAGAAAAGAGCTCCGAGGAGACTGGAAGAACTTTTAGCCAAACACAAATTGCCTGGAGAAGTTTGGAGGAAAGTGACTAAAGTGTAATTTTAAAAAAAGTCATCTGCTTTTATTGGTAGGGTTGGAAAGATTAATGATGCAGACGAGAGGGTTTAATCGCTTGCAATTCCTGACAGGAAAAAAACTCCTTTGGGAATTGATTTGAGGATGTGCTGAAAATTTTAAAACTGTTGTGCCTGAGGGCAAATAAAATGGTAATTCAATCTAGTGCGTTGTGACTAATCCAAAGCAAACTTCTTGAAGAATGAGAGGAGCTTTGATAGAAACGGTACAGCATTACAATTTATTCAACGAGGTCAGGTGAATTAAGGTCACAAGAAAGCACAAGAAAGAATTAGAGTAATCCTGTACCATGCTGACCTGCACCGAGCGCTCTGTTCATTCATTACGTGCAAAGATTCTTGAACTGATGGTGGATACTCTTTATTTATGTGGCCAGTCTTTGTCGGTTCAAGAACCTCTTCGCATAATGAATGAACCGAGTCCTCAGTGCAGTTCAGCACGGTACAGGATTACTCTAATTCTTTATGGTGCCAGTCTTTGTCGGTGTCAGCCTGGCTCAGTTGGCAGTCTCTCTCTGAGTCGTGTGCCCTGTGGAGTCCTGCAGCGCAGTGGTTAGCGCGCTCTCCTCGTAAGCGAGAGGACCCAGCTGCCATTTCAGGGACCTGGCAAAATATTTCTGATAATCCTTCCATCGCCCCTCCAAATAAAATGTGGGCAAATGCAAGGATTATTATATTATGATTATAAAATTCACTTTACTGACTTCATGGCTGCTTCTGGGACATTGCCGTGCACAATTTGGTTGCCTCTGTACTTCACGTAAAACCCTTGGAGCACTTTGAGACACCCTCCTGACGCATATAGGATGAAAGAACTATTATCAATATTGATCTGTTGTGTGAACGTTTGCGTAGAAAATCCCTCACTGTGCTTGAATCTTCAGCCAAGTGACATGAATTAATTAACTTCATAAACTGCGCAACGGGTTTTTTTTAATTAAATGAGATTGTCGGCAGTGGAGTGCTGTAGCACAATGATGAGAGGTTCCATTCCTGGATGGGGAGAAACCCATAAGGCGGGTTTCCTTACTCCACACGCCTCCGTTTACCGAGCAGTAAGTAAAAACCTGGTTGTTGGTCGATTGGTGGATCACTTTCTTGGGGGTCATAATCTCGCGAAACAAATTAGAATTTGGTCTCTCAATCCACGACTGTTTGTGGGACGCTGCTGTGTCCAATTAACTGTCGTGTTTCGCCCACAGAATACACAGTCAATCCACTTTACGGTACATTGTGTGAAGAGCTTTGAGACGTCGCAATGACATGAAAATGTGCTCTATAAAATGCAAGGATTATTATTATTATTATTATCATCAAAATGTTGATCCTTTGTGCTGAGGGAATGAGATCTCCACCACCAGGCACGTGTTCTGTTCCATGCGATGCTGCAGAGGGCAGAAGAGAGCTATTAATTGAAGGAGGAAAAGTGTTGGGAGATTTCAATCGCACTCACGATAATCCTGGCACCACATTGGGGAGCTTCAAAGCACTTCACAGAATGTACCGTAAAGTGAATATTTTGTTGGCGAAACTCAGAAGCCAATCAACAACAACAACAACAACAAAAACAAGATTCCATTTATAGAGCGCCTTTCACGTCGGGAGGACGTCCCAAAGTGCTGGACAGTTGGGTCAGGACTCGAGCATTGGGGGGGGAAATGGTCAGGGTGAGGGGAGGGAAGGGAGAGAGCGAGGAGGGGGTAGAGAGTCGAGAGGGGAGCTGAAGGCACGGTCAAAGAGAAAGGTCTTGAGACCGGCCTTGAAGGAGGAAAGGGAGGAAGCGGCGAAGGCACTGGGGGATTGAGTTCCAGAGCCTCGGGGCTGAAGGCCACCGATGGTAGGACGGTTGGGGCGGGAGATGTGGAGCAGACCGGAGCCAGAGGAACGGAGGGTATGGGCAGGTAGGTAGGGGAATAGTAGGTCGGAGAGGTGCCTACTATCGTGCAATCGTGCACAGTCGTGGATTGGGCGACCAAATTGTTTTTTTGAAGGGATTATTACCCCCAGAAAGCCACCGCCAATCGACTAACAACCGAAGGTTCCTAGTTTCTGCTAGGCGAACAGAGGTGTGCGGAGTAAGGAAACTTGCCTAACTTTTTGCCCCGTCCGGGAATCAAACCCGGGTCCTCTTGCTTGCGAGGCGAGTGCTCTAACCACTACACTACAGGGCTCCAGGACTCTCAGTGGCTATGGTAAGATCCACACATAATGATGTGCGACAGTCACATACCAATCCTATCGGATTCCCATTGTGGCACCTGTGAGGCAGGAGAAACACCAGAGTTATCCTTAATAATAAGGGAATTCTTCTTGAAGGTAGATTCTCCTGGACTAAGGGTCACGAGCCAGGATAATTCTACACACGAAAGAGCACAGACCGTATCTGGCTGTCCATAGTGAAGTTACAATAGCCCAGCGTAAAGCTAAAACTGCGAAGAGGGGCTGAGGGGAGAGGGGAGTCAATTAGGAAACTGATAAAGTGATGTAAAAGAAAACAGAGAGACTTAACCAGACAAAGCACAAGAGAAATAAGGAAGATCGAAACAATTACAAGCACGGGGACAAGGCGTAAATACAAGCACGAGGGAGATGAGTAAGTACGGACACCAGGAAAATGAAGACGTTCAAAACGGGTAAAAACATGTGGAAAATGAGGAAGTGAAAAGTCCAAGGGGGACAAGAAAAACAATTAAGCCATCATCTCCATTTATGGGAGGAAACAATAGATTAAACTATCAATTAATAAACACACGTAAGCTCGAGAGTTTGGTAATGAAAGGGAGGAATCAACTCAGCACAAAATTGTTCTTGAGATCCTGAGAGGGATCAGCTTGAAACTCAGAGGATTTGCAAGAGTTTTACCTACGCCATCCAGCTTTTAGCATTACGAAATTGTGCGCACATTTCGACCAACAGCTTTGATGTGAAGTACCTTAAGGGAATCACTCCGCTAAAATGATCCTAGAGGTTGATATAGGATGTCGCTTGTCATTTTAAACTGTCATATGACTGAGTTGCCGGCATGATTGTGTAAACTGTTTAGACTGTGTGCTGCCTTCAACCATTATACAGTTATACGAAAGGATACTTGTGATAAGAATGAGTATGAATTGATAAAGTAATAAGAATTGTTTGTACAAACAAAGTTTGAAGATGCATAAATATTTAATTGTTTGTAGCAATTAATATTGTTGAATGAAGACATTATATTGGAATATTGAAATAAAAGCTTATCATAAAATACGAACGAATGTCTCAGACGTCTTAGTGATTTTACTAATTGACTGGAATAAGCATCCTTAGAGCCTGAAAGGTGGTTTGAAGGGGTGGGGGAGAGTGTGTCAGCAAAGTGATGCTGTACAATTGTACTAAAACATGTCATGGTATCAGAGGTGCTTGTGATAACCAACTAAACTGATGCACAGATGTTCTTGCATCTTCTCCCCCACTTCTTGGCAAAACAAGTGATTCACTGAAATGTCAATGGATAATTTGCAGTGTGAGTGTTTGCATTAGTGACATTTTCAGAGCTCCATTATTTTTAACAATATATATATATATACACATTGCGATGTTGGAGGTGCCGTCCTTCAGAGGAGACGTTAAACCGAGGTCTCATCTGGCTGTTCAGGTGAATGTTAAAGATCCCATGATAGTATTCAAAAAGAGAAGGGAGTTTTTCTCTCCGGGTGTCCTGGCCAACAATCCCCCAAATAAAATTGTTAATTTACTCCATGACAGATTGTGGGATCTTGCTGTGCGCAAATTAGGGGCTGCATTCACCCACAAATACACACTAAATCCTGTGAAGCGCTTTGGGACGTCCTCCCGACATTGAAAGGCGCTAAGCCAAATTCAAGGATTATTATTATACAATAGTACAATAATAATCCTTGCATTTGATATAGCGTCTTATCACCTCTGCGAGACATCTCAAAGCGCTTCACAGAGTACACTGTAAACTGAATTGATTGTCTATTTTGTGGACAAATTTATTTATACTGTGCATTTCTGTTTAACTTGTGGAAGTTAAAAAATGAAAGAGTGGTAGTTTGAACACTATTGTAATTATCCCACCATGTTTTCCTCTATTATGGGTTCAGTGGCTTTCTTCTGTGCTGTAACATTCTATGATTGAGAACGTGCTCCCAAAGATCCATAATCGGCCACAAAATATACAGTCACTCCACTTTACATTATATTCTGTGAAGCGCTGTGAGACGTCTCAATGATGTGATAAGGCGCTGTATCAAACACAACAACAACAACAAGGATAATTACTATTATTAATCATTTTTGTACTTCATGTTAT